TAAGTAACTTTCCCAATTCCTAATGCAGTACTGAAATTCTACATGCCTGCAAATCCATATTCCTTTTTTTTTTTTTTTGTGGTGCTGGGGATTGAATCCAGGGCCTTGTGCATGGTAGGCAAGCACTCTACCAACTGAGCTAAATCCCCAGTTCCCCCATGTTCTTAATACTATACACAATTCCTCTTCCATAAACTCTCAACTTAAATCATGAAAAGAAAGCTTTTTGATATGATTTTATTGGTCTCCATCAACTCCTGCAGCTCCAAGCACCTGACCATGACAACCAGTTAAGTAGGTGGCCAATAGACTTTTATTTGGTCCACCTGATCTTTATAACCACATAAATTAATGCTATTTTTTCTCCTCCCTACAATAACTGAACCTTGCTGACCATCTTTGGAAAAGTACATACCAAAACATTTTCAGAGCATCTCACAAAGCTGATGGCTGGAATCATGAATAAAGTTGAGGCCACAGGGACCACAGGGAGTTTGAACTCACTCTACATTGACTAAATCCATTCTCTCTAGCTCCTACCCTACCAAATGGGCTAACAAGTACACTAAAATGGAAAGAAAAAAATGGAATTAGTCAAAACATAAGATTTCTAGCTTAGATCTACCACTAATTCTCAGTGACATCCCACAACTCTTACCTCACCAGGTGTCAATTTCCTAATCAATAAAATAAAGAAGAGTTGGACCAGATCTTACCTACTGTTACTTCCAATCTTGGAATCTTGCAATGAATGATCTCCAGCTAAGTAAGTTTATATCACTAATGTAGGGACTTCTTATTTCCAAAACTCTTATATGATAAAGGGCAGACCGGTAATGCTACATATAAAATAATGCACCTTCCCACTAGATTATCTCAAGTTCTCCTGAAGTAATTTCAGATTATGTAAAGATACAGCATTAAGATTCGTGTTAGCAAGGCAGCTGGGTGGTCCCCAAGCAATTGTGCCCCCACACCACCTCACCCTTCAGCACACTTTGAAAGTAAGACATCCTGAACATACCTGGTGTTCAAGTAACTGAGGCAGGTAAGAAAGAAAGCCCATGGCACATTGTTGAACAAAATTTTAAAATAAAGGGAAAATGTGAAAGCAACCTGATGCTTACAATAAATCCTCTTTTAACATAACTGGCACACAACAGTCACAAATGCAAAGTCAGTATCCTGGCTGACATTTATGTACTTACTTACAAAACTTGCTTACAAGTTTCTTCAATTATGGTGGATATTTAGCTAAATTTTATATATTCCAGTGACAACCTTTGCCTTGTCACTATTCCGAACAAGATCTCAAAACATAAAAAGCAGCAGCTACAGGAGAGGTGAAATCCCGGAAGCCATCGATTTCTGACTTGGGAGAGCCCCGGACTTCTTCACTAGACCAAAAGGCCTCTCCCATTGGCCTTTCCTCTGCACCTGAGCTAACCTTAACCTTCCCTCCTAGACCCTCCTCAAGCAGAACTTAAACCCTTCGCTCCTTCCGAAGCAACGGCCAGTTCCAAATCCGAGGAACCCAACAGCAACCCCCCCCCCCGCTACCCAAACCTACCCAAGGCCAAGGCCCAAGTCCCGCCAGTCTAAACTGCGGTCCTCGCCCCCCACCCCTCCCCCACACCGTGCCTAACCCTAACCCTCACTCACCCGGGCCGCCCCGCTCCCCACACCTGGCTGCCTTGCCCCAACCCACGGGTAAGACGACCTTTGAAACCCACCTCCTTCCTCCGCTCGCCGGCTACACTTCAACCCTCGCGCCGCCCCCAACCCGTCCTCACCTGAACTGCAGGCACAGGTCTCCCAGCCTGTGGCCCTCCTCCAGCCCCGGACTCCCGAACGCGCTCGCTCCCGCAAAGCGTCTGGGTGCGTGCACGCTCCAGGCTCCGGCGGCGGAAGGGGCGGACTTTACGGGGCGGGGCCTGGGAGTGAGGGGCGGGGGCCGGGGAGGGCGGGGCGGGGGCCGGGGAGGGCGGGGCGAGGCCTGGAACCGCGCTAAAGACAGGCTGGATTTCACGGCCTATGGCAGTCTTCCGGGTGCTAGTTTCAGACTGCGTGTGAGACTCACCGGTTTCGGAGCTTCCGGAGGGCTGAGACTGTATGGGTTGTTTTTGATTTGGGCCTTTTTTTTTTTTTGCCTGGCCACAAATCAAGACTTTGGAAGCTAATGTATGAAAAGCATACCCTGCTCCCTCCACCGCACTATGCTAACCACTTTCCAACTACTATCTCTGTACTGAAACAGTAAGCTCTATACACTAATAGTGCCCGTTTGAAAGTGAAGGAAATCGTAGTTTCTCCAGGTTCAATGAGAATGCGGACCTCGGCCTTTTCCTGCGGGCAGTCCCCGGGCTCCCAACTTCCGGAAAATAAAAACATCGAAAAAATACCTTTCAAATTAAGGTCTATAATGCTCTTCTTATTTAAATATGGAGGTTCTTTCCCTTTTATTAACTGGATTTTATTTAGAACGACTTCAAATTACTTATTCCACAGCTACTCTCACTAGTTCCTGTAGAGACCATGCTCAGTATGGAAATGTCAGAGAAAGGGGAGGGGGCGGGCAAGCTAACGTTCCTCCCTTGATGGAAAACAGAGCCTTCCAAAAACACAGATCTCTGCTTTTTTACTGGCTCCACTGATGCCCATGATTCCTGTTAGACTTGGAAGTTTCTTGAATTAGAAGCCACCAGGTATAAAATGACAGTGGGACATCGTTCCATAATTGTCATCAATATTTCCCTTTCCTTGGGACCAGACTGGAGATAGAGTGCAAGTCAAAACATTATAAATTGTAATTTTAAGTAGACTTTTTAGAGCAGTTTTAGGTTCACAGCAAAACTTAACAGATCAGAGATTTCCCATATACTTCCTAATTCCAAACCTGCATACTCTGCCATTACCAAAATACCCCACCAGAGTGATACATTTCTTACAACTGGTGAGCCTACCTGACTTACCATTATAATATATATAATATAGTTTCACTATTGTAAAAATCATCTGTGCTTCACCTATGCATTGCTTCCTCTCCCCTACCCTAGGAAACAAGAACTTATTGTTCTCTCTTAAATTATGGTTTTTGCATTTTGGTATGTCTTATAATTTTTTTGATAGCTGGAAAGTTGTTTTTTTTTTTTTGATAGTATATTGATTTTTTGATAGCTGGAAAATTTTTTGATAGTATATTGATTTCAAAGCATTTCTGTAAGTGAGCCTTTAATAATGTAATAAGGAGTAGAGGAGGAGAAATTTTCTACAGCCCTATTATTGGCCTTAGTCTTCTAGTGCACCTGTGTCTCTGGACATTGACCTTCACACATGCTTCTCAGTTTTCCCCTTAGGTAGCAAAGAATGGCTACCAATAGCTGGAGTTGGGTATTTCCCTTTCCCCAAGTCAGTTTGGCTCTGAATAAAACCCCTGAAGGTTAAGCTCTGGTTTCTTGGTTTCTCCTGAGAACAGGCCTTCTTAAGAAGGAGAGCTCTGGGAGCGGCTGCAGCCGCTGGGGCTGCAGCGGGTGGTTGGGCGGCCCAGAGAAGGCAGAGGCAGCGGAGACCATGGCTGGAGGCAAAGCTGGAAAGGATTGTGGGAAGGCCAAGGCCAAGGCAGTGTCTCTCGCTCAAAAAGAGCTAGACTACAGTTTCCTGTGGGCCGCATCCACAGACACTTGAAGACTCGCACCACAAGCCATGGACGGGTGGGTGCCACTGCTGCCGTATATAGTGCTGCGATTCTAGAGTACCTCACTGCTGCGGTGCTGGAGCTGGCAGGTAATGCTTCCAAGGATCTTAAAGTAAAGCCTATTACTCCAAGTCACTTGCAGCTTGCAATCCGTGGTGATGAAGAGTTGGATTCTCTTATCAAGGCTGGGGGTGGTGTGATCCCTCATATCCACAAATCCCTGATTGGAAAGAAGGGACAGCAGAAAACTGCTTAGAGGGTTGTTTTAACCAACCCTCTACCTCCCCGTCATTGTACTGTAACTGGGACAGAAGATAACAGTGGGGATATGTGGAATTTTTAAAAACAGTTAAATGGAAAGGCATAGACAATTACTGTAGACATGCTAAAAGAAACATTTGTATGTTCTTAGACTCGAAGTTTGATAAAGTACCTTTTCATGTGGTGACAGTGTGTGTTGATTGGCTAGGTTTCTCTCTTATGTTTTATACAAAATGGAATTGATAAACCATTTTTTTACAAAATTATTGTCTCAAAATTGTTCTGTTCATGATGTATTGAAAATATCTGGCTCAGCTTTTGAAATTTTTTAAAATCATAATCATTATTCAGAATAGTCTTAAAGTAGAAATTGGGAATATAGCTTTATCATGATTGATATTCCATGTTATATTGAATGTTAGATGCTATCAATTTGTTATAATACTCCATTATCTTATTATATACCACTAAGGAAGGAAAACTCCTTGAATTAATGCCATCAATTATAGGATACATCTCAATTTCAGAGATGTTAGAATATGGAAAAATGTGCATTAAAGACCAAAATGGGGTAGTAGATTTACTGGAATCCTTTACTGAGTACTTACCACATGCTAGGCCCTGTGGTCAGTGCTTTCTAATCAAGAAATCTTATCCTCACATTATAGACATGGTTCCTGAGGTTCACAGAAATTAAATGATCTGCCAAAAAATATTTAGGACTAACAGAACAGAGCTAGAATACACACCTAGATCTTAATGACTCTAGAGCACACCTTTACCTAGATTTAATGTTAGATTTATCAAACCTTTCTGCTTTTGGCTTAAAATTCCAACTTTTGGTGGTCTTTTATTGATATAGTAACAGTAATTTGTACAATATTTTAAAAATTATTTTTCATTGTCAGTTTCTAAATAACTGTTAGAAGATTTAAGTTAATGTACTAATTAATGGTCCATCAGAAAATTCTATTTTTCTGTCAGGAAATCTTCATAAAGAAGGAAATTTTTGATGTTTTATAGTATAACACTATCAAAACAAAACTCAATTTAAAAAATATTTTATTATGGAAATCCTCACAAATACACAAAAATAAAGAGAACAGTATGATTAAGCCCATCTTCCAAAAAAAAAGTAGTGCTCTGGGGCTGGGGTTGTGGCTCAGTGCTAGAGTGCTCGCCCAGCATGCTTGAGGCACTGAGTTTGATCCTCAGCACTACATAAAAATTTTTAAAAAAAGGTACTGTGTCCATCTATAACTAAAAAAAAAGTAGTGCTCTCCTATATTTCAAAAGGGTTCCTTCTTCCCTATCTCTCCAGGATCTTGAGGGAATTTTTCTCATTCACTGTGAGAACCTAGTCAAGTTTATGGAGGTAAAACTCAAAAAATGTGGATTCCCTCTCTTCCAATGATGGGGTTCCCTTGGAGCTTTTGTGTCTCAGGCTTGTACACAGTGAGCTTTCAGCAATTCATTGATTACACTTCAGGGTTTCCTACCCTGGCAATGGTTCCCTTAGAGGCTCATACTCCTTTTTGTTCATGGATTTCTGCTGATTTTAGTTTGAGATTCTACATTCACTTGTCAATCTCTCCAATTTTGAGGGTGGCAGTTTGTTCTGTTACCTTACTTTCTGATGGATCTAAGAAGAGTTGTTGAGTCTTATGTAATGGAGCATGGTTATATTCCCAGTTACACAGGAGGCTGAAGCAGGAGGATCACAAGTTTGAGGCCAGTCTCAGCAACTTAGAGAGACCCTATCTCAAAAGAAAAAAGTAAAAAGGGCTGTGTGTATAGCTCAGTGGTAGAACACCCCTGAGATCAATCCCTGTTCTAAAAAAAAATAAATTTAAAAAGTTGTTAATTTTTCAGTTTCTTCAACTTTTTACTTGTTGGTAGGATGGAGTAGCAACCTTTCAAGCTTCTTAAATGCTGATTGGGAACCAGAAATTTTTGTAAAATTTAAAAGGAAAAAAAAAGGGTTTAACCATCTCAGTAGCTCTTATAGCTTTATATATACAAACAAAAAACATGTTTATTAAAAAATATATTTATTAATTTTTACACCTGCTGCATAGCACAAGACTATTAACACTATAACTCACTGAATGTACAAGAAATGTTCACATTTAAATAATAGGATAGGGTCAACATATTCAACCAATGGGTAAGCTTTAGCATCTCATGAAGTGCTTTTTAGCCCTAGCTATCTTAAGACTTTTCTGAAAGGATAATTCCAAGTCAGAAAATAATTCAAGATCAAAACAAAAACTTTTTCCAGAAGAACAGAAATTTTACATGATGAAATGTCTATTTGGGTATAAATCAAACAATAAAAATGTAAAATTTATATCCACCCTACTCCAAAATATCACTCTGCACTGAATAAAGTCTACAGTGTCAGTGTGTTTTGGGAGTGGCCACAAAACAAACATTGGCTACATACGTGTTTCCCAAATTAGGTCTTCAGAGGAATTATACTCTGCTATCTCTTCAAATCCAAGTCCTTTTGAAAATATTACCTTGGAATTAATGTGCACAATACCTGATCCTAAAGAAATGTTGTTTGGCTTTAGTGCCACCTGCATCTCTGGTTGATAACGTTAGTTTTAGAGTCTTAATTTATTCCACATAAGGACTAAAAAAGACAAAGGAAAAACTTAGAAGGGAAAGAGACGAAGTTCTTCAACAAGACCTTCCTCTGTGTATTTTAAAACTTAAAATAACTGGCATAAAACGAACATTCTATTCAGTGATAATTTTTTATTTTAATCAATAAGTTATTCCTGAGAAGAGGGAAGATTCCTTGCTGGATCAAATTAAAAAGAACCCAACAGGGCCAAATATAAGTTACAAAAACCCAAACTGGACCTTTGGAAAAGTCTAGTATTCTCCTCCTAACAAGTCTTTCTAGAGGGCAATAGGCTACTTACAATCATTACATTGTGGAACTTTGGGAACTAGAGTCTGCGTTTTGTGACTCAAGGTCAATATTTTCTGTTGAAAATATCGATGTTACTTCTTTGTTACCAAAGATAGAAAGTCCATTTTCAGTTTCCAAACATTTTTGAAGAATCTTTCTCAAGTCCTCTTAGTTCCCAAATTTTCAGAGATAGCTATGTGAATGAGGTCTCAAAAATAAAGTGCAAGATCTACATATTAGTAAAGTTAGTAGAAAAGAATTCTTTTTACTTTTCAGAAAGATACCTTTACCATAAAGAAGCTACTATGCTTCTTAATTCACAGAACCAGTTTTCACTCAGAAATATAAATAAAATAATTAGTTGACTTCATTTTAAACGTATTTAGGTCTTCTTGATCTGGATTGATAAATTCACTATACAATAATTATTCTAAAAATGCATGTCACAAAATGTTGTTAAAATATGTACTGACTGAAATGTTTCACAGGTACAATTGGAATGTACAGTAAAAAGAGGGTAAATACTTTTCCCCACTGAATTCATAGCACACAAGACTCCTACTAAACAGGAACACATATAAGACAAACCATTTCCTCTCCCACCTGACAGTATAATATTCATAAAGAGACAATTTCTTCCAGATCCTTTATATTATCCTCATATATTATAAATGGTCCCTGCATTTTAATTTCCCCCTAAGTGTGAAGTTGGTCATCTCATAAAAAGGTCCAGATGAGTTACAATATGTTTAAAATTAAAAGTCTTTAGAAATAAGGAAGGCCACCTTTCCATCCAACTTTAAAGAATGTTCATTTTAAGACAGCATTGAAAGTAATAAAATACACTGAATGCTGTGAACAAGAGTTAAATGTAGGGGCTCAAGGTGCAATTCAGTTATTAGAGCACCTGCCAAGCATGCTTGAGGCCCTGGGTTTAAGCCCAGCACCACACACACACACACAAAAAAAAAAAAAAAAAAGAGTGGCAGGGGGAGTTAAATGTATACTTGGTAAGAACAAGGAATTCAACTTTTACCAATTAATGATAAATGGATGCTGCAAGGCAGGACAGTGTTTCAGGTCCCCCTCTCTGCCCCCCGCCCCCACAGGATAGTTTTAATTTGGGTAAATTCTCTTGGTACCAATATGCCCTTAATACAACTGCAACCAGAGAATGGAAGGCAAAAGTTTCATGTAGGGGCTTAAATTCTGCTAACATCTAGCAGTCTTTTCTATTTTGGGGAGTCCACCCACCGTTGTGAAATAATAAAGAAAGAACTATCAGGACATGAGGTTCTGCCCTAATCTGCTGAGGACCAAGATCTGTGAAAAGTATTATCAACCACTAACCATAGTCTTTTAATATATGAAAATTTAAAAAAAAAAAAAATCATGGTGGCCTGCCTGTAATCCCAGCTACTCAGGAAGCTGAGGCAGGAGGATCACTTGAGCCCAGGAGTTCAGGACCAGCCTAACCAACATAGCAACACCCCTATCTAAAAAAAGAAAAAAGAAAAGAAAGTCAGCAATAAGAAAATTTTAAATGACAGTTTTCCCTTCAGAACACCACTGTCAAACTTTTGTCTCATCATTTTTATTTTCTTATCCAGTAAGCTCCCTTTGTTAAATTACTGAAAACTCAAACTTACAAGTCCTGATTTAAATCACACCTGTGAAATGCCCATTCTCCTTTGGTGCCATGGCTTGGAATTCAGAAGTCCAATGACCATGGACTTGGCACAGCCTGTCTCCACCTTTGGTATGAACACAAATATGCCACTTAATATTTCCATGAAGGAAAGTAAGGCTTATCAGTATGGTAAAAAACCAACTCGAGCAAGACAAAGTTTCTCCATCCTGAAATCTACTTTCCCCTGAAAGATCTCCATTTCATGGCAGAAGCTCTGAGGGCTTGAAGAGTCAATTTGGTAATGAAGACCTTGGCAAAATAATCCCCACATATGTGTGTGTGTGCGCGCGCGTGTGCGCGTGCGTGTGCACGCCAAAATTGTAGTCTTCAAATTCTTTGAGTGAATACTAAATCTTAAAAAAGAGGTCTGGGTATCAGAAGCTTCAGACTTATGAATGAGAAAATACATGATGTGAATGCTCCACGCTAGCTCCACGGTGAAAACTAGGGTTTAGTGATGTGCACTTCACTGCTTCCATTCCCATTGGTCGTGGTGGTGATGATGTACTGTGTGGTCTGCTGTTGGCTGGTGGTTTGGGAATCCAGAGAGTCACTGTGTGCAGATGTCTGAACCTGGACGCCACTGGAAAGGGCAGAAGTTTGCTTTTCCTCCAATTCTGTTTGACCGTCTGATAATACATAATGACCCTAAAGCAGAAAAAGAAGGATCTTTAGAAACTTAGAGCCTATGAGGGAGGAATAGGAGCTACTAGAGGAGAGGAGAGGGAAACATGCAAAGAAATGTTACAGGGGATCCAAAATAGACACCTATAAGAGATGCTTTACCTATATCCTTTAGAGAGGATAGGGTGGTCACAGTAACTGAATACAATGATAATTCAAGGAAGTACTTGAATTACCTTTGTTATTACCACTGTATCATTTGGTAACAACAATTACCTTTGTTGTTACCAAACCATACAGTGAAGAACTTCAGATATAGAAATTTGCACGTGGTAGTAACCTATCTGGCAAAGAAAATATGCACTTTTGTACTGTTCCTAAGAACTTAGAATTTCAGAAAAAATATTGCCGTCAATCAAATGTTAAGATTAATGCAAAATGGATCAAAGAAGTGATAAAGAATCCTTAAAGAAGCAGACTGCCCCCCACATAGTCAAGATCAGTGGTTCCCAGATTTTAAGACTTCAAAAACCAGCAAAATTAAAAATAATATTACTAGTCGCAAAATTTTGTTTTGCCTAGTAAGGACATTTAAAATGTCATTATATCCTACCATCAAATATTCACTTTAACATTAAGAGTATAGGAAGGGGTAACTCAGAAGGCTAAGGCAGGAGGATTACAAGTTTAAAGCCAGTCTAACGCAAGATCTGTGAAAAGTATTATCAACCACTAAAAAGACTGTCTCAAAAAAAAAAAAAAAAATTTTTAAAGGGCTTTTGTATGTAGCTCAGTGGTAAAATGCCCCTGGATTTAATCCCCAGTACTACAAAAAATAAAAATAAAATATCAGGATGTTGAGATAACTAGACAACCATACCACCCTCTTGGGAAATAATCTTCCCTTGGGGATTATCCCAATGTCCCTAAGCCACTGAAGAGTATTGTTCTTTTTTTCTCCCAGCATCTTAAAGGTATAAAAGAAAAATAAAATTATATATATTTATGGTATATAACATGATTTTTTGTTTTTTTTTAATATTTCTTTTAGTTGTACACAATACCTTTGTTTTTATTTATTTATTTTTTTATGTGGTGCTGAGGATCGAACCCAGGGCCTCACATTCACTAGGCAAGCGCTCTACTGCTGAGCCACAACCCCAGTCTTGATGTTTTGATATATGTATACATTGTGAAATAATTAAGTCAAGCTAACATAAATAGAAAAAAAAATCAAGCTAGTATACCCATCAACATATGTTTACCTTTTTGTGTGTATGTGGTGATAACATTTAAAATCTACTCTCAGTAATTTTCAACTATACAATGCATTACTATAAGCTATAGTCACCATTCTAGATCTGTACTCTGTACCCTAGATCTCCAGAACTTATTAATCCAAGACTATTTTTTTTTTTTTGGAGCTGGGGATCAAACCCAGGGTCTCGCACATGCTAAGCATGCCGTCTACCATCAAGCTACACTCAGCCCAAGAATATTTTTCTCAATTTAAATTTGTGTACTGTCTTTCTAAAATGTAAGAAGCAGACCAGAACAAACACATGAAGAACAAAAAGAATAGGTACAATCAATATTGTCCCTGCCAAAGTTAAATATTATGGCAATGTTTTTCACCTTGGAGTGGGTAAATTATTTAAAATAGCTCCATAATTGATTCATTATATTATTCTCTCCCAGCCCAGTTGAAGACCAATAGTTTTGAGGACTTGCAATATTTCCAATAAGTGTATAAAAAAAAGTGATCGTATGGATGGGTCTAGGAGGCTCATTATAGTTATTAGTTAAGCATTTGCTATAGTTTAGCTTCCAGAGCAAGGCAGAGGATTAAGTGATAGACACAGCTTCCAAGAAATCATCTACTGAGAAACTATAGAATAAAGCAATAAATAAAGACCAAATTGTGACAAGTGTTCTGGACAGGGTGGCTTACCGGAGTAACCGCCTTCACTTGGCCAGAAGTGACAGGAGTTGCTACACCACTGTCTGTAATCACAAACTGACCTGGGGGAAGTGTCATCATTTGAATCTCAGATGCTGAAAATAGGAAACATACAAATTTTTAGTACAAGTTCCAGAAACAAATACAGATGCTCCTTTATTTAGATGATGGGGGTCACATCCCAATAAATCTATCCCACATTGAAAACATGATAAATCATATATGCATTTAATACACCTAACCCCTGTATCACAGCTTAGCCTTGCCTAACTTAAACTTTCTCAGAAAATTTATAACAGCCTAAAGTTGAGCAAAAATCATCTAACACAAGATCAATTTTATAACAAAGTGTTGACTATCTCATGTAAATTAGAGAATACTGCATTGATAGTGAAAAACAGAATACAGCCAGGTATAGTGGTGTAGTCCCACCTACTCAGGAGGCTGGGGCAGGAAGATCTCTTGGGCCAGGAGTTTGAAATCAGCCTAGGCAACACAGCAAGAGATCATATCTCAAAAATAAAAACAAAACTCCCAGAATGGTTATATGGTTATGCTTCTACGTCATCATTAAGGTGAAAATCCTAAGTTGAACCATGGTAGTTGAACCATCTGTACCTAACCAGTGCTCATAGTCCCCACTGAGCTATTTCCCATAGATCTCCTTGCTGTGAGAGTCTTGGGATGCAGTGATTTTTTGATAGAGTGAAAGTATCTCTGATAAGAATAAATCATATCATAAGGCACTACTAAAGAGCTACTAAATATCAGAGACAATTAATTCGTCTCCACTCAAATGTGGCTTCCAAATATCCACAAATACAAATATTTACCTATTTTTTAAACCTGGAAATATATTACAAAGGCTTATCTTTTAGCTCAAAATTTTTAGCTTTTAGATTCATGTCTGAATTTATGGCACAAATGTATCCACAGTAATCACAACTAAATAGTAATCACAACTAAATCCAACTTGAATTATTGTCATTAAAGAAAATCAAAAGCAAAGTTTACCCTAGCACCCTGTTGACAGTCTCTGAATAATATTTTCTGCTAGAAGGAATTAGGTATTCTCGGGAAAATGGATGATTCCAGCTCTGAGCAGAAGATGGGTAAGATAAGCCTGGAACATCATGTTTTGGGCTTATAGAGTCATATGAGAAAGATGCAGGAGACAGTTTGAAGAGACTCCTGCTAGGCAAAAATGAAATAATCTGAACATCAATAAGGAAAATACTGCAGTAGGTTCAAATATGTCATGTGTTGTAATTCATGAGTACAAAATGACACTAAGACACATATACATATCCTTCATTCGTCACCTTGCATAACACTAGAAAACCCACTCATTATTTTGAAAACTGCTAAATGAAGGTGATTAATTGTGTATCAAAAGCATTTATCCTCCCTTTCCTACACAATCTGTACTCAAGAGTCATCTGGTAATTAGGATAAAATGTTTTTCCAACTAATTAATGAAGAAGAATTATAGAATCCAAATATCACTACTTTATAAGCCCTAATAAAACAATGAAGCTAAGGAATAAACATCAATGACTCCTTACATCACAAAAAGAGAGACAACCAAACACTGTATGCCTCCTGATGAAAGGACACACACCAGGTGTGGTGTGAACCTGAACTTAGTCAAGCCTCTAGATTAATGGCCAGTCTACAGGAAATAAAAGAGACAGAAGAAAGTATATTAAACAACAACAATATGCTAGGCTGGTGATGCACACCCATAATCCCAGTGACTTTGGAGGCTGAGGCAGGAGAATCACAAGTTCAAGGCCAGCCTCAGCAACTTGGGGAGATATTCTCTCAAAATAAAAATTAAAAAGATCTGGGAATGTAGCTCAGTTGTAAAGCACCTCTGGATTCAATCCCTAATACCAAGGAAAAAAAACAATGACAAAGTCTGGTTCTCCTCTGACCCAATTTGAACAAACCAAAAGTTTTTTTGTTTTTTTTTTTTTTTAATTTCTGAGACCATCAAAGAAATAGGAATACTGACTGGATATCTGAAGTAAATTTGAGGGGATTAAAGAATTATTGTCATTTATTTTTAGGTGTGATAATGTTGTATTATGATAATGTTATATTTTTTTAAATGGTCTTTTTTTAAATGGGATATAGCTCAGTTATAGAGCACATGCTAAGTATGTGCAAGGCCCCAGGTTCAATCCTTAGCACAAACTGCACCCCTTCCCAACACACACATGCAAACAACAACAAATAACAAAAACACCAGACTTTTTAATTTTAGGGTTTTTTCCCTTTTCTTTTGGTAATAGGGATTGAACCCAGGGTCATGTTACCACTGAGTTACATCTCCAGACTTTTCTATTTTTACTTGGAAACAGGGCCTCTTTAAATTGCTGAGGCTGGCCTTGAACTTAAGTCTTCCTGCCTCAGTCTTCTGAGTCACTGGGATTTCAGGTATGTACTACCATGTCCAGTCAACTTTTCCATTTTAGAGATATATACTAAACTATGTATGGATGAAATGATACAATGGATTATTATTGAGTTGGAGGATGGGAAAGAAGGATGGGATAGAGACGAAGCTGGATGTGACTTGGTAACTACTAAAACTAAAGGATGAGTACGGGGGTTCATTATACTATTCTACCCAAGCATAATATTGGAATTTTTTTATGATAAAAAATCTCAGTTCCAGAATCTTATCTTCATATTAGAATGTTAGCTTATACTTTATAACCATAGATAGCTGGATATCTTTATCATTTACTGTGTTTCATAGGAATTAAACTAACCATAAATATCAGTCTATTTCCCAGGATTCTACTGGTATTTACTCTGGAGTCAGAGTGTCTTTCTATGACCAGAAACTAGATTTGGCCCTCATTGGAACCACCAGTATTTAATAAACAGATTTTCAAAATAACTAAATGGCAGAGCTCAAATCTGACTCCACAGCAAATCTATGTTATATAGCCATGGATCATCCATAACAGTGATGGGCCCCTCAAAAAAAGACATCAATAGTAAGAGAAAGATCAACACTACTTCCCTGCTTCTTAGGGCTCAGAATTCCTACTTGCTTCTATTAAGGTCTGTTATCTCTCTTCCTGTTCCTTCCACATTTTCCATAATAAAGTCTCATATATTTCTAGCCCACACCCAAGGTTTACATTCCAACCTTGATTTCTACCTATTCTGACTTCAGGCAGCTAACCTGATACTCTTCCATAACACTAATGTCAGGGTTTTATAATATATTACATATATATATTTTTTTCCTTTGCTAGATGATTATCTCTCTCTTTCTTTTGGTACCAAAGATTGAACACAGGAGCATTTTACCACTGAGCTAATCACCAGACCTTTTTATTTTTTATTTTGAGACAGGGTCTTACTCAGTTGCTGAGGGTCTCACTAGGTTGCTGAGGCTGGTCTCAAACTTGCCATCCTCCTGCATCAGCCTCCCAAGTAGACAGGATTACAGGTGTGTGCCACCCTGCCCAGCAGATGATGATCCCTTTGCCCCAAAGACTATTTTATTAAGAGAAACAGCACAACAGGATAATTTAGAGTGTAAGATTTGGAGCCAGACAGCATGGGTTCTAGTTCTCCAGTGACTAGTTATGTCTCTTAGATAAGTTGTTATGTCTAAATACAGTATAAACTGCCTTGTCGGTAAAATGCAATTAACAATTGTACTTATCTTGTAGGTTGCTGTCAATACTGAATGTGATATACATAATTTAGAATCATTCTCAGCATACATTAAGAGCTTAATGAAAGTTGGCTTACAGCTAGGTATGGTGGCACATGCCTATAATCCCAGCAGTTTGGGAGGCTGAGGCAGGAGAGTCACAAGTTCAAGGCCAGCCTCAGCCACTTAGCAGGGCCCTAAGAAACCTAGTGAAACCCTGTCTCAAAATAAAAAATAAAAAGAACTAGGATATAGCTTAGTGGTAAAGTTAAAGTCAAGTCCCTGGGTTAGATCCCCAGTACCAAAACAAAATTTTAAAAATTATTGTTGACATTGACATTATTGTGTAGCATTACTGATATTAATGTCAACATGAATCTTTGTATACCCAGGGTCCAGCACAGTGATTAATATATAGATATTTAATAATTATTGATGGAAGGGATGAATCATTACCATTGACATATTCTCTCTTCATCTATTCTATTTAAGTCACCTACCTATACTTACTTTATCAACATACCTAATGTCTCTGAAAACATTATATCAAACTGGCTTTCTGAGATCAAAATGCTGCCTTGAATTTTGTAATGAAACTCATTCAAATATATATACCATAGAGTGAAAAAAATGCCCAATTGATATTTTAATCTAAAAACCTATTATAAAGCTGATGAGATGGTTCAGCCCATGAACACTGTACCCATTTTTCTCACTCACAGTAGCCTCGGAAAGAATTCCAAGCATTGGGAAGGTACGTGTGTTGCACAGAGGAGTTTTGCTGCTGCTGCTGCTGCTGCAGAGTCTGCCCCTGTGTGGAAGAACTGCCTTGTATATGGGAGGGGCTGAGCCCCTGCTGAGGCTGCTGAGCGGAAGGGCTCAGTGGCTGCCCAGCCACCTGGGGAGAGGGAGAAAACAAAAGCAGGAAATTATGAAATTTCTATAGATCTAAGACCTGCAAATAACTGAAGGAAATAAAGCAGAATAATATGAATTTTATAAGCCAAAGTATATCACTGCTAAAGTACTAATATTTTTAACTAAGAATGGAATGAACAAAAAAGCAATCAAAACCCTGAAATTCTAATTTGTTTTCAGAAGATAATCTACAGAAGTATCCAAAAAATTAATTTCAATAAACCTTCTAGATAAATGAATGAAAGCATAATTGCATATGTTATATAAGATTAAAAGAAATGAGAAGTAAAATAATTTGCCTATGTCACAAAACTAATCTGGGATCCAAATGAAAATATAACCCACAGATCACAATTTCCATTAAATTGTGCTAAATAATCCCACCCTGGCTGTGGAGTAAAACACAGGGACGCATTCAGACATCTGGTGTAGAGGCTTACTCCTATCAGATAGGACCATTCTCTGTCATCTGCCATTCAAGGTCCTCCAGAATCCAGCTCCAAGCTACTTTTCCTACTTCTTTCCAAACATCATTTCCTATTCCTAAATAGAATCACTCAGTTTCCTCTAATATACCACAATTTCACAACTCTGTATTCTTACTCACAACTTGAGCTTATGCAGATCACAATGCTTCTATACCCCCCAAGACCTAATTCAAAGACCACATCCACACATAATTTCTACATAGTCTGCTATATATAACTTCCCTCTCCTCTTTACTCCCATGCTTACTTAATATCTCAGTGACAGACTCAATCATGCAAACACAATACAGAGTAGTACTCCACAAAGTCATTGTTCCAAATCATAGAAGCAATTTAGCAATGCCATTTAAAATGAGAAGAAAAGCTAGTGCTGTTTCTAGGATATCATATCACAGGGTTCCACAGGGACAGGGGAAGTTAATAACTTAATGCAACTGGATACACCTTACTAAAATAAAAATTGGAGGCAAAGGTAAGACTTATTAATTGAGGTCCAAAAATAACAACATAATCTCAGTAGTTTTGGATAATGTCTTTACTGTTCCCTTATGGTCCTTGAGGCCACATTAACTCCTCTGAACAGTCCATAGAGAAGATACCTGGGATGATGACGGGGCTGAGGTTGTGGGCTCAGTGACTTGGATGTGCTGCACCTGGATAGCATGTTGTGTGTAGGTCTGAGGATCATGGAGCTGTCCAACATCCACAGTGGACTGCTGAGACTGGTGAGGGGAAGTGGCCTGGTGGGAGAAAAAAACAGGCCCAGAAACCAAATATATATCACTTGAAGTTAAGGGAAATCTTACCAGAGAAAAAGTTCAGTTAAAAATAATGTCTCAATAGAAGAATAAGTGATGCTTCAGAATCTAATGCTGTACACTGCACTCCCAGAGGGCACACACCTCTAAGCCAAGCTGTCCATGATTAAAATTCTAAAAATGCTTCTAAAATATAAGGTACTAAAATTCTGGAAGACAAGGAGAAAGAAAAATATGGTTCGTAATAATAAGCTACATGACAGTTGGGTGCAGTGGTACACACCTGTAATCCCAACTATTCGACAAGGAGCAAGTTTGAGGCCAGTCTCAAAATTTGGCAAGAGCTTCTCTCAAAATAAAGAAGTGAAAAGAGCTGGGGATGTAGTTCAGTAGTAGAGCAACCCTGGGTTTAATCACCAGTGCTATAATATAATAATTATGATGATGATAATAATATCAGTAATAAACTGCATGAGAATCTCTCAGAAACCAACAATGTTTTTCCTTTAAATTTCATTAATTTAGTGTCCTATCAGTTAAAAGAGACCAAGGAAGAGAACTTGCTTTTAGTTTATCACTACCTGGTATATGCTATCACTAGGTATTCTTGTAACTATATCTATAAAAGCAATATAAAAAGTATTATTCCAAGAGTAAAACAAAAAATTATAAGAAATACCACATTTTTTTAGTTGTTGATAGACCTTTATTTTATCCATTTATTTATATGTGGTGCTGAGAATTGAACCCAGTGCCTCACATATGTAAGGCAAGTGCTCTACCACTTAGCCACAACCCCAGCCCAAGAAATTCCACATTTTATGAGCAGTTATACACAAAACTATTATAGTGTCTTGAGAGAAGTGCCTCTTAATCATAATAAATTCATCAGTATAAAATGTATACTAAAGCTTTAGTGAAAAATAATATATTTTATACTGATACTGTCTCCCTTTAAAATTAAATGTTGCCAACCTACTGTATGATTCTGGGTACAAAATTATACGTGAAATCCTTGGCTATTCATTAAAAAAGAATTACTTTAAAAGATCTGCCAATAATTATTTCCAAATGTGGGTGCCCATTTTAATAGTAGTCTTAATTAGAACAGTTGAAAAATGAAGATAACAGTAGTGCTTTTATGTTCAGACCCACTAAAACAGTGGTCCCTGACCTTTTACATATCACAAACATGTTTGAAAATCTAGCCAAAGTATTGCTGGCCCCTTTTCCCAGAGTCAATATATATACATATCATGGGAATGTTTGTTGTTGTTCTTTTCTTTTGTGATACTGGTGATTAAACCTGAGAATGCTCTATTACTGACCTATATCCCCACCCCTTTTTAAGTTTTTATTTTGATACAGGATCTCACTAAGTTGCTGAGGATAGTCTCAAATTTGCAATCCTCCTGCCTCAGACTTTTTAGTCACTGAGATTATAGGCATGCACCACCTCACCTTTCTTCACATCATGTTTAACACAAAACTACAGGGCCTCATAGATTCTTAGCATAAAGCCAATAACTGTTCCATATGGGGGGAAAAAAGAGTAAAGAATCGTTGCCAGGCACAGTGACACATGCCTGTAATCCTAGCCCTACCTACTTTGGAAGCTGAAACAGGAGAATTCCAAATTTAAGGCCAGTCTAGGCAATTTATGAGATCCTGTCTCAAAGTAAAATTTAAAAGGCTAAGCATGTAGCTCAGTGGTACAGCACTTGCCTAATATGCATGAGGCGCTGGGTTCCATCCCCAGTGCTGCAAAAGCAAAAAAGAATAGTGAATGACAGTGGTAACTTCCATGTTGGTTTGAAATTTTCAAAACCAGCTGATTTCAAAGCAACAAGTCCATTTGTGTTTTGAATATACATTCTCACAGCATAAGCGAAGGAAAGAGCCAGGCACAGTGGTGCCTTCCTGTAATACCAGCAACTCAGGAAGCCGAGGCAGAAGGATTGCAAGTTTAAAGCCAGCCTTAGCAATTTAGCAAGGCCCTCAGCAACCTAGCAAGACTTTTGTCTCAAAAAAATAAAAGGCTGAGGATGTAGCTCAATGGTAAAGCACCCAATTTCAAGCCTCACTACCAAAACAAACACACAAATAAATAAACAATAGTTCTGAGAGGATTTCTTCTTTTTGCTCCCTAATGAGTAAGAATGAGCTATTCATTATCTAGTAGAAAGAACATAGTTAAAATTCTGTACTAAAAAGATACTAATAAATAGTCATAGACTGAATCAAAATTATATTTTACAACCTCTCAAATGATACAAGCCATTTGATACCCAAATAGGGATTAATCAAACTAGTGCATTATCAAGTAGTCAACCTGGATGCTACAGCACAAGGATTCATAAGAGGCTAGGTGTCATTAGTACCTGCACACTATGTATGCTAGAGCCTAAAATCTCCTGACTAGGATAGAAAGAAATCTTTTACACTGCCAAGTCCAGAGCCTGCATCACCCTGGGAAGGACGGTAGCAATGGTGTTTTACAAATTCCCCAGATCCAGAATTTCCATGCAGAAGCACATTATGTAGAGCCCATGTCCATTTCTGAGACCTGGGTGCTTTCATTGACTCTAGCTACCATCTTGGCTAATAGCAATATGATGCTTTTAAAGACAAACAGAAGTAAATGTCACACAGTACCGGGGCCACCTGTACCACTTGAAGCTGTATATGCTGAGGTTGCTGGAGCCCAGATGCAGACTGGGACACAGGGATGTACTGAATCCTCTGGTAGTCTCCCTGTGGTGTTCGGTAATCAGTTGTTAAGGTCTGAGACAATTCTGTCATCGCTTGGGTTAGCAGGTCTGTTGTCTAGAAAAATCACACAGAACACTTTAGTTGATAAACTACTGACTGTAGCTCTTTCAGTGCTCTTAAATCCTGTTAAAATTTAATTAATCATGCCAATGGACCATGGAACTACAAAATAATCCTGAGTGTCTATCTCTTGCTCAACGGAGCTACCCTAGAGATTCTGATAATATTGCAGTGAAGGAGTAACACTGAGAATTCCTTGCTACTTCTTTGACAGAGAGCTTTGGAAAACACTGACTAGGAGACCCAATCACAAGCATAATGCCTTATATAGCAAACTGAATGATAATGGGCTCTATTTGCAGCCAATTAAAATAATAAGATGAGTATTTATAAATATGATGGGCATCAAAGGAAGTTAAACGCTCTCCTAGTCATATACTTACCACCACAGTCTCTCCAGTGGCACTATCTGTTGTCAGAACAGCTGGGGTAGCACTGATCACAGCTGTGGTCAGGGGCGTCTGGATGGTGTTGGGAAGCTGAGCATACTCTGGATGTTTCTTTCGAATATGTTGGACCATCTTGGTCTGAGAAATTTAAGAAAAAAAATCAAGAATAATTACTAAAATTAGTTGTTTTTAATCCTTTTCATATGCAAACCATCCAATGTTTCTGAAGGTCTTTTATTTTGTGCCCTTACAAAATAAAAAATCAGACAGGCTCCATGGCATACTCCTGTAGTCCCAGATACTTGGGTGGATGAGACAGGAGGATCCCTTGAGCTTAGGAGATTGAGGCTAGCTTAAGCAACATAGTTAACCCCATCTTTCAAGTTAATTAAGTAATTAAAATAAAATGAAAAATCAGAGCAACACCAACTCTATGCCTGCATTTCCAAAAGTAATATAAGGTCCAAAATCTTCACAGCACCCCTCACCCCCTTAATATCCATAACAATCAGTCACAATCCCCATCACCAGCACAAATGACCCCCTTTTCAAGAACCACCATTTCAGTTCCTACATAATGCTTCCATAAGCCTAAGCTTATAAACTATGAGTGCAGAATATTCAAATCTGAGACCCTCAACAGGCCAAGGGCAGAGGAGAACAGTCAAGTGTTCAGGCACTAACTCTAGGGAGTCTACAACATTCTCCTCCCACTCATCACTTTGGGAGCTACCCTAGAGGTTCTGATAATATTGCAGTGAAGGAGTAGCACTGAGAATTCAGTGCTTACAGGGACTAGAATGACGTCTCTTTCAATCCCCCATCAATTAGAAAGGAGACCTCTCGGCCACCTGGATGAGTAGTCACCTTCTGTTAAGACATGAAAACCTCATGTAGAGGTTTTGCTGTCAGATGTGGTCAGAAGGTGGTGCCATACCTTGCTGCTGTACTGCTTGGAGCAGTGAGGGCAGCAGACAGGAGGAGTGGCAATGGTGCCCGTCAGTTGGGTGTGGGTGCTCAGCATGGGGTCTGGCTCTCCAGGACCAGCAGGACGAAGTTTCCGAATGCTTGGTGGGAGCTCAGCTCCTGGATGGTTCTTCAGAATATGGGCTTTACGCTTGCTGGCACTTTTATAAACCTGTAAGTTCAAATACTTTGCCATGAAAGCAGTGTACAATTCCTTTTTCTTGCTTAAAGCAAACTAACAATTTCACTCTAAGGAAATTTAAAAAAAAAATGATAATGCCCCAAAGAAAATATATTAACAGATCTTCTGAAGAATAATATACATAAATACACAGAATAAAACAAGTAAATACTACAGATATGCCAGGCATCTTCCTTGAATTTTTCTGTATATATCTAAGATTTTAACTATAAAAATATCCTTTACCTGAAAGCTCAAAAGGAGGACATAAAGAAATAGAGATTCATTTTTAAGGCCAGTACATCCTTTAGTCTATCTGTAAAAGCTCTCATATGATGTATGTGACCAACTACTAGGAACCAAAGAATCTTCAAATGGCAAGTTTAATAGCAACTAGTAGCTTTGGTAGGGACTCTATATTTAAATCATGTTCTTTACTTTTAATCTGACATAACTACATTCTACAAGGCTATATTATACACACTATTATAATAAACAGTATGTTCTCTTTCTGTCTTTTTTGTAACTACACAAAAATTAAGAATGAAATAGTATAAGTAAGTACTCTACCATCACAAACTTTTTCACATTCCACTCAGTTCTCTAGAAATCTACCACATATTTACAAGTAAGATGATAAATACTCTCATGTTAAGAACTTAGGAATAAAATTAATTCATATTCTAGGCTCTTGGTAACAAGCCTGTTCTTTTGTAACAAAAGTCATAGAGAGAAGAAATAATAAGAAAAACAAATTCTTAAGAAAAAAAAATTTGGCTAAAAATGAAACTGCATTTGTAGCCCTTTCTGGTCTGAATGGAAAACTACTAAGAAGCAGGGAACCATCTGTTAAGAGTAACTAGTATATATTTACACACATAGACACACTTGGCTCTGAGCAGGGCTCCCACAGTGGCACAGCAGGAAGGATATTTTGCTCTTACCTTACCTTATCACAATACTGGCAAAAGTAATCCCGGTTTGGTTTTATGATGGGTAGAGTTAACTCTGGCACTTCTTCTATCTTCATGTCTGGATGCCTCTTTGATAAGTGATTTACCTAAAGTGGAAAAAAAAAAAAAGAAAAGAAAAGAAAGAACAAATGAGAAAGAGACCCCATTACAGACAAAAGCTAAATAAATGCCTCTGATGATGAGTGCTAGAAGTTGAAATTCTCTGACACAATGCCTCAAAATAATAAGGTATTTGCCCAGAACCAACATCATCAGACCCATCTGTTACCAAAGCATGTTAATAGTTGCTAATAACTTGGCAAATAACTGAGGGGGAAATGGGTCACTCCAGTCCCATCAATAGTCTCTACCTAAAAGAAATACTGTTAGAAAAAGGAAAATCACATGAACATGAATTTCTTCCATGAATTCTCCTGATGCAAACCTGTCTTTCATTGGAATTTAGTTGCCCTAGCTTTACTGAGAACACTGAATGAATTGATACAAAGTAAGGTTCTGAATTTTAAATATTGTCCTATGACTCTCTAGCTCTTGCAGAAATATATTCTGCAACAGTTACAAAGTCAAAATAAGTTGAGAGCAATGAAATGACTATCCTGATATTGCCTCTAGTCTGGGACCACATACCCTGCTTTGATGGAGAGTTTTCTCCTATTGCTGCAGTTCCCTAGCTGGTAAAAAAGAAGCAAAAATGGAGGACAGTTGGGGAGGAGGCAAAAATCCTGCCAAAAATAATATTCAGGAACACAAAAGAGAAGGATGGAAATAAAACAGGACAAGAGCAAAAGGATTAAGAAGGGTTAAAAAAACAAAACTGGTAATGAAAAGTGGTAGAGGGCTGGGTGTGTGGCTCAATGGCAGAGCACAAGTTCAATACCCATGAGGCTTTGGGTTCAAACCCTAGCGCACCAAAAAAAAAAAAAAAAAAAAAAATGGTGGCAGAAAAAGACCTCTTTTAAAGGTCACCCAAGAGAGGAACAGTTGTCCAAACCTATAATCCCAGTTATTCAGAAGGCAAAAGGATCACAAGTTTGAGGCAATCCTCAGCAACTTAGCTAGACCCTGTCTCAACATAAAAATTAAAAAGGGCTGACGATGTATCTCAGTGGTAGAGCAATCCTGGGTTCAATCCCCAGTACTACAAAAAAAAAGAGGAAGAGGTGTCATCTAAGAAGTGGTACTGAAGGGCAAAGGCAGATTGGAAAGAAGAAAACTCCAAACTGGGAACTATTAACCTGTTTCTTCCCCTAGCTATTGATAAAAGCTACTGACAAACATAACTTAGTACAGAATAAAAATACCAAAGCCATCATCATTGACAAAAATGAGGTTTGGAGGCAGGAACCTGCCTCCATCTGGCACTAACCAGCATGCCCCGTCGCCGGAAGCCCATCATGCATAACCGGCACTTGAAGGTAAAGCTGTCGTAGTCCGTGGATGTGATTCGAGGTTTGAAGGTCTTGGAGCGGCTGATACGGTCAGCTTTCTTGGCTTCCCTCTCAGGATTATGCATCCTTTGCATGTGTTCCCGTAGTTTGTCTTTTCGCTATTGAAAAGAAGTTTTGGAAAAGGAATAAGAGTGAGGGTAAAACATTTTTATTTGAAGGAATAATAGAAAATATCGATACAAATCATCAATCACCACAACTCACTCAGAGGCATCTGAGTGGCTACAGTGTTGGGACAAAAGTGACTAGGAATCTGTTCACCAGCAAATTAGTGTCTTCTAATGAGCCTTGGTTTAAAGTGGCCACCAAATATGTATTATACTGATATCTGAGAGGAAAGATTTCACATTTATGTAGAGACAAAGGGTACATGGAGTAAGTTAGGTATTAAGAACTATAAGACAAGTTGGGTGCAGTGCTGCACATCTGTAATCCCATCAACTCTGGTGGCTGAGGCAGGAGGATCACAAATTTAAGGCCAGAATTGCCAACTTATCAAGACCCTACCTCAAAAAGAGCTGGGAATGTCATTCAGTGCTAGAGCACTGGGTTCAATCTCCAATACCACAAAACAAAACTTATAGTTTTGATAACGAAGGATAGGCAATACTGGATTTACAAAAGCCATACATTTCAACAAACATAATGATTTCCTTCTAAATCGCAAATGAACTTAGGTAAGAAATCTCTCCATTTGTGGACTTAGAAGTTCAAGTGTACTGTCCACTACAGGTAGACATCATGCTGATATGAGGCCAAAGAGAGATAATTAGCTGAACACATCCTGAATAAAAACAAATTCAACAACTGCCAAGTCCCTTATCCAGTAGGGCTCTCTGCTCTTTAAAATATCATTAAACTGTTATTAGTCTTGTAAAGATTTTGAATCTTCCTATAAAACTAGTACTTCTGGGGCTGAGGCTGTGGCTCAGTGGTAGCACACTTGCCTGGTATGTGTGAGGCACTGGGTTTGATTCTCATCACCACATATAAATAAATAAATAAAATAAAGGTCTGTCAATAACTAAAAATATATTTTTAAAAAAAACAGTATTTCTGCTGGGCTTAATAGTGAATGCCTATAATCCCAGCAATTCAGAAGGCCAAAGCAGGAGGATCACAAGTTCCAGGGCAGCCTCAGCAACTTAGTAAGACCCTGTTTCAAAATAAAGAATAAAAAGAACTGCGGATATAGCTCAATGGTAGAGAGCCTCTGGGTTCAATCTCTAGTATAAAAAAAAAAAAAAGAAAGAAAAGAAAAATAATTCTTCCCATCTTTTGGAACAGGGAATTTTTTTAACACTTCATTTTTCCAGCACATTTATTCCACAAATATTCTGGGAGTGCCTACCAAGTATCAGGAATCATGCTAGATGCTGAGTTCAATGTGAGGTACCCTTCACTTCTTCTATTATGGATATAACTGCTCTTCTTCCTGTTCTACCACCTCTCATTCCTGGAACGCCCAGGAGAGAATATTCAGAGTTTCTTAGTCTGCAGTAAAATTTGGGTTAAGGTTGGTTGTAGTGGTGCACACCTGTTAATTTCAGACTCAAGAGGCTGAAGTAGGAGGATTGCAAGTTTGAAGCCAGCCTCAGCAACTAAGCAAGGCCTAAGCAACTTGGCAAGACCCTGTCTCAAAATAAAAAATAAAAATGGCTGGAGAGGTAGCTCAGTGGTAAAGCACCCCTGGGTTAAATACTCAGAAAAAAAAAATGGGTTAAAGACACTGCTTTAAATAACAATATTTCTCTCAGTACAGATACAATGATAAAGAACCATTGCCTTTCCACTTTTTCCTGACCATCAATCTCAAATGTTTCTCCCATCTATTCCCTTTAACAGACCAATTCCCCTTAACCAAATAATTTCCTAAATCTCAAAGCTAATATTATATCATATCATAAATCATATCATATTAATACTATATCATGTCATGTTTATAGTGACGAGATTTGAATATCAAATCTCCATGGCTCCTTTCCATCCCAAAATCTCCAAAACCAGATTTGTTATCTCCCCACTCTCTCTCCTTCCCATATGTACCTCCTTGGTATCCACCCTCCCTCCTTCACCCTCACCCAGACCCAAGGTCCTGGGAGTTCTCCTTCCAATGTCTGCCTTCAGTATGGACTCTCTTCTTCCTGTCCACAGCCTCTGCCTGAGATTAAGCTCTACTCCAAAAAGCCCCTGGCTCCCTTCACCAAAACTTTGGTTACTCAGCATAATAAACTGGCTTAACTTACCTCTCTGGCTTCATCCCACCACTAGCCTCTTCCCATGTGCCTCACCCACTCTACCTTTCACCGTCTCATCTCCTTAGTCCCTGCTGCTCCCTCTGCTCTGCACGTCTTCATTCCTCCCTTGTTCCTCATCCACTTCCCTTCTTCAGCTGGCAAACTCTTCCCCATCCTTTAGTGAATCCAAAAGTGTCACTTTGGGATGGTGGTGTAGGTCAGTGCAGAATGCTTGCCTAGCATGTATGAAACCCGCAGTTCCATCCCCAGTACTGGAAAATAAAAAATATCAGCTCATCTATGAACTCCCCTCAGCACTTTGTCCTTTCTTTTATTGTAATATCAAATACACACACACACACACACACACACACATACACTCTCTCTCTCTTTTTTTTTTTTTTTTTTGGCTACCAGAGATTGAACTCAGAACTCAGGGGCTCTTGGCCACTGAACCACATCTCACCCTTTTTTTTGTATTTTATTTAGAGACAGGGTCTCACTGAGTTGCTTAGCACCTTGTTTTTGCTGAGGCTTGCTTTGAACTCACAATCCTCCTGCCTCAGCCTCCCAAGCAGCTGGGATTATAGGCGTGCACCACTGCGCCTGGCATCAATAATATTTTTAATGTCTGACTTTACAATTAAGGTGTACACTCCCTAAAGTCAGAAAGTCCTACCTTATCTTTATATATATGCTGCCCCCTTGGAAATTACAGTTAGCAGGACAGACAGTTGCAATACACAAGTATTAGGGACACCAAGAAAAGGTCTTATGGGAATACATAGAAGAAACACTTAACCCAGGGACCAAGAAATGTCTCAAATGAAGTGACACTAGCCAGGTGAAATGATAAGAGTCTGAAAGTTTATTTAAAGCCAGGGATTGTGAGGGGGAACAAATGTAAGGGCCCAAGGAAAGACAGTACCCCATGATGAAGCGGATCCAACTAATTCGTAAAGCCAGAGTGCAAAGTAAAGTGGAAACTGGAGAAACAGTGAGAAAACAGATCTTATACTATCTTTTAGGTGGCAAGAGCTTTGGGATCCATCTGTATGAGTAGCTATTAAAGCATTTTTCAGAAGGGTCATGACATTAGATTGGTTCTTCAGAAAAATTATGCCAATTATAATCTGAAAAAATATAGTATAGGTATATGGTGGCTTTGCAGTGTGTCAACTTGACTAAGATGAACTGTGTTTAAGTGGAATCCCCTTCCAAGCATTGTTCCAGGTTAGAATTAGCCAAAAGAAACACTGGCACCAGATTGGGAGGTAGGAACAAAGCCACCTGGAGGTGGTATTGGTATGGAGGTGCCAATGGATTCCCACTAATCCTCTCTCCCTCCCACTCAAGCCACCAGCTCTCTTCCTGACCCTGCTGGTCAATTCCAAGCAGGCTGCCAGATGCAGCCACAATGGACTTCCATGGACTGTGCCAACTCTCCTTTTTGAGCCCACCTTGCAGTTGGAGGTGCCTGAGTACCCAGATTCCCAGGTAAGCTGCCATTTGTCCACTCACAGCAGTGCTTCAGAGGTTGTGCTGGAGACGTCTCTGATTCCCCAAATTCTCCCTTCAGACCCTTAACTCCTCTAACCTCTCCTATAATTAATTTTTTTATCCTTTAAGAAAATTCCTTATTCTATAAAATTATGGTAGTTTTACCTTGCTGATTGAACCCTATCTAATATACTGTGTGAACTTAAAGGAGAAAATTAAAACAGAAAGGTTTTTTTAATATTTATAGGTATTAAAATGAATCTAGCATGAAAAGGGTAACCAGCACCATAAATATATAAGAAAGCAGATAAAACCCAGACCACTTTTATTTTTCACATTAGAGTCCCCTACACAGTTCTAAACTGTGTTATTATATATCGAAGGTCATCACAATTATGTTTGGTAACACACATACCTCAAGACATAGCTTTGAAAGTATTTTCCGTTTCTCTTTGTCTTCACATCCTATACAAATATAACCTGAGTTTTCCCTTCCTAAATATCCACTACTGATTATTTTCCAATTTCTATGAAACTGTGATCAACAATCATATTCGATAGTGTCTCTCAATAACATTTCTGTAGAATTGCCTGATTTCTGCATACATACATTTCTTCGTATATATATATATAATTTTTATTATTTTTCACATTTATTTATGCAACTCTTATCTCTGAGCCTCCTGCTAGCTTTTCTTTGTTGTCTTTTAAATTCCAGGAGATTAGTGATACTTATTATTTTTTACTTTAATCATTAACATTCTCCAAAGTAGCTTTCACCTTCTTCTCAATGTTCTTCACATTTCCTACCTGTTAGATGAGAGTACTACTACCTATGAGCTCAATTACAGGCTTTTAATACTTAATAAGTGTTCAATAAAAATCTCTTGATTTGAGTGGTATGTAAATGTATTGATCTCAGGAATTCCTCAAGAGCAATTTAGTATACATTTGCTCTTAAAATTAATATACATTTGGATTCTTTCAGGATATGCATTATTAGTCTATTTGAGGATTTGAATTAGTTATTTTGAAAAAAATAAATAAAGTAAGGTAAGCTTTTTCCTTAATATAAATAGGGTATATTTGTATAGGATGTGAAGAGAAAGAGAAAGTACTTTTCAAAGCTTATATCTTGTTGTATGTGTGTTACCAAACATAATTGTGATGACCTTCAATATTATAAACAACTAAGTCAAACATGAAGCCCAAAATTCATCCCAAGCCCAGTATTTCAAAAGTGAGTGGTAAACTGGTGAAATTAATAGGCTTTTTTTTTTTTTTTGTCAGCACTAGAGATAGAACTCAGGGCCTCACATATGCTAGGCAAGCATTCCACCATGGAGCAATATCCTCACCCCTTAGCTACAGGCATGTATCCTTAGCTTAACATAATTCCATTGCCTGTGAGTACCACACTTCAATCTGTTTGTTGGCTTCATACCTTAAACTGCTTCCCACAGGTAGAACATAGGAAATCTTTTCGGTCTGAATGCCGGAGCATGTGGAGTCGCAGTTTGTCAGGGCGGCAGAAGGCTTTGTCACACTCTGTACACTGGTAGATCTTTTCTGAGTGGAAGCTGCGCACATGTTTTTTCACCTGGCAGTAAAAACCGGGAAAACTCAGGGACTCTGACACCAAAAGAAATGACCAAAGGTCGCTATCAACGCTAGAGGGAGCCAAAGCATTACCATGGATTTCATCAACCTGGCCATGACTTCCAATCAGAGGTGATAATTGGCCTCAATACCACATACTGTCCCTGTCACAAAGAAACAAAACAAGAAGCCAGAAAACCTTTCAAATCTTAACCTCCCAGGTGACCTGAAGAGTAGAACAAAATGTTGCCCATGTTCTTTTTCTTTTTTTAAGACTAAGCAGGGTTCCTTTAGGTTTGAATAAATCTTGCTAATATAATCTATGAGAAGACAAAAAATAATTCTTCCTCATTTTTTTTCTGCCTTCAACACATATTGAAGCAATTTAGCCCCTTTTAGTAAATGATCCTTTTATATCTCCCTATAAATCAGGTTCTGGATAGGGCTGGGGATATATAGTTCAAATGGTGGAGCACTTGCCTAGCATGTATGAGGCCCCAAGCACTGAAACAAACAAACAAAAATATTAGTTTCTGAAGAATTAAATACATGAATTAGATAACAAAGAAAACATTACCTATATATGATTACAACATTGGGGTCATTTCTCCTAAATTTGGACTTATTCTCTTTGCTTTTAGATAACCTTAATTAAAGAATATAGCTTCATCCTCAATTCAATTCCCAGCATACCCTCACCCCCCAAAAAAGAATATAGCTTCTGAACTTACAGCCATCAAAATTACATGAGAAAGAACTATGGGTATAACTGTCATGAGTCAGATGAAACTATTCCTATAAGACATTTTGCTTCATTATTTTTGGAGTTTCAATTCTGCCTTAGCAAACTTTATAATTGTTCGTGTGAAGTATGAAAATTTCCAAGACTAAACACAAGTAGAACTATAATTAAATCCTAGTCTACTTGTGCTTTGGGAATTTCAATAAGTGTATTTTTACAAGTTATTTAATTATTCACTGACTAGCATATAAAAATATAAACACTTAAAGTCCAAATGGAATAATGAATATTTTGGGATTTATCTTCACCTATTTTGTTCCAACAGACAATATATACTACAGGGAAGCAGTCAGTGCTTGAAAAAAAATTATTAAATACTAATATATTTTCTCTTATTTCACTTCCAAAATGCATAACCTTATAAAGTAAGATAAGAAACCACAACGTAGGAAGATGTTTCCAGGAAATGGGAGTATATCTTTTATAGATTCTCTGTAATATATGAGAAATGGATAATAACAAGGTTACAATAGACATTTTAAAAATTATAACCAGATCTGGGTGTTTTTTACTTGCAATATGACTTGAATGTTTAAATACCAATGACTGATCTGGATAATTGTTATAATACTCTTGTTTATCAAAAGTAGTTTGAAAAAAAAATATTGTTCTCAATTATAAAGCTGTTTCAAAGAAATTATGAAAATGCAGGTGCTAGGCATTAAAAAAAAAAAAAAATCAGTTTCTTTTACCAAAAGAAGGAAGCAGACATAAATCTCAGTAGCAGACACTCACCTGGATAAAATCTGGGAACCGTTTCTTACAAGTTGGGCAGGTAAAATAGCCATCATTGATATGAATGGCCACATGATCTTTCAACAAATCAAGGCGGTCAAAGGATTCTGGGCAAAAAATGCAAGAGTAAGTCTTCTGGTCCGAATGGAGCTTCATGTGGCTCTCCAAGGAGGCGCTGCTGATGAAGCCCTTGTTACAGAGATCACAGGTCAATGGGCAATTCCCCTCCCGCCCATGGAAGCGCAAGTGTTGGTCCAGTTTGTCCTTTTCCCGGAAGGCCTTCCCACACTGCAAACACTTAAAAGGCCGGAAGGACTTCCGAATAAACAGATGCTGAAGAGCTGCATTCTGAAAGACAGACACAAATACAATTATGTAGTGAGGAAATGAGTATGTATGTGGATCACACTTCCACAGGGAAACAAAGGATGATCCCTGCAGGACATTCACAGTAGAAAGATTTTTCTGGTGAAAATGCTGAAAATGAATCCCTCCCCAAAGAAGTTTATCTTAAAAAGAAAAAAATTTGTGGTTTATGTCTGTGTATACGTGTTTTTGTTGCTGTTGTTGTTGTTTTGGTTTTTTTTTTTTTTAAAGATTGAGATGGCATTCAAAAAAGCATTCCCAACAAAGACTTGCATAAGAAAATAAACTCCAGAGTGGAAAAAGACAAAATTTGGATATTTGGAAAAAAGGACTCGGGGTAAATGACACATGCATGAATGAGGTTGTAACACATTAGTCAAGAATTATTTCCTGAAGCCCCTGATAGGAAAGAATTTGAAGAGTAATTAAAACATCTAGCAAAAAAAAGATAATACAAAGAATCAAAGGGTAGTTAGTTCTTACCAGGAGTTGGAGAAAATGGATTTGGGTAATAAAAATGATCTGGAATTATAGTGATGATTTGAGATAAATTGATAGAGATAAGGATAGATAGATAGATAGATGTAGGTATAGTGATGATAGCTACACAGCTTTAGGAACATTCTAAAAACTACTTTAAAAGGGTGAATTTTAGCTGGGTGCAATGGTACATGCCTGTAATTCCAGTGTTTTGGGTGACTGAGGCAGGAGTTTTGTAAGTTAGAGGCCAGCCTCAGCAATTTAGAAAAACTCTGACTCAAAATAAAAATAAAAAGAGCTAGGCACAATGGTGAACACCTGTAATTGAAACTGCTTGGAAGGCTAAAGCAGAAGGATCACGAGTTCAAAGCCAGCCTCACAAAGCGAGGCACTAAGCAACTCAGTGAGACCCTGTCTCTAAATAAAATACAAAAGAGAGCTGGGGGTGTGGCTCAGCGGTTGAGTGCTCCTGAGTTCAACCCCCAGTACCCAAAAATAAATAAAGCAAAAAGGGTTGGGTATGTAGCTCTGTTGAAGAGTACCACTGGGTTAAATACCCCTAAAGAAAAAAAAATAGTAATAATATAAAATAATAAAAGAGTGGATTTTAGGGCTGAGAGCATAACTCAGTGGTAGAGTATTTGTCTATTATATCAGAGGCCCTAGGTTTTAGCCCCAGCACAAAAAAAATACGTTTTTTAAAATGTGTGTGTGTGTATATATATCCATATATACACACACACACAATACACATACATGTATGTATACATACATACATAAAAACTTATATATATGTATATGTATGTAAGAGACAATTCTTTTTTAATATTTTTTTTTTTTTAGTTCTCGGCAGACACAACATCTTTGTTTGTATGTGGTGCTGAGGATCGAACCCGGGCCGCACACATGCCAGGCGAGCGCGCTACCGCTTGAGCCACATCCCCAGCCCCGAATGTATATGTATGTATATACACACACATACACAGACACAGTGAATTTTATGCTATGTAATGTCAGATCTCAATTTAAAAAGAAAGAACTGAAAGGGGGATGAAGAATTCAGATTTATGTGGATGTGCTTGTTCATGAGGCACGTCATAAATAGAATATATGCATTGCATTACTTCCTTCTTAGAAAATACAGAGGACAAATTCCTGGGGTAGCCAGTTAGGTCTACTAGTTAGAATGCCATGCTAACAAAGTTAAACTTATTACTGTGTTTCCTGTCTAACTAGGGCAATTTCTCCCCCTCCCTCTCTTACTCTGTCTCTCTTTTTCCCCCCCTTTGGCAGTCACAGATTGCACTTCTAATGCTGATTAGCCATCTTGTAAACTCATGCAGTTGTTACAGGGGATTCAAGTGAGAGAAGATGGATATTCAGAGCAAATCCATCACGATTGCTAGAGAAACATCCATGCTCCACTGGGAGCAGACCTACAGAATCATCTTCCACGCAGAGAATACAGAATATTTAGTTGTGCTATTATGAAGACTCATTCATAAGTTCCTCAAAAACACCAATGGAAAGCTCTAGATAGCTTTAAGGGAGAAAAATCCCTCAAAAAGTACACCTGTTGAGTGAGTATGTCTGTTAGCTATAAAGGAGTAGTAATTGAAGGATTAATGAGATCTTTGTGCTATGAAGAAATTACAGTGAACACTACTTTAACTCTTAATTACTTAGCAGCAACTTCTACACTAATGTGAAATAATCATTTGGGAGGAAAGCAAAATATTTATATTTAATTTATTAAAATTTCTAAACATACTTCATTCCATATAACAGAAAATTGCCTTCTCTAGCTTTCTCTAGTAGGGTTAGGAGAGATGTTTAAAGATGCTACCTACACATTTATCTTGAGTAGGTAAATAGCAATTCTGCTGTCTTTCCAAGGAGACTGGGGCTGCTAAGGAGAGGGGGAGGACATCATATTTTATTCATTTATTAAAGGATTAGCTTAGCTCATAGGATACATCCAATAGTAGTTTGAAAATTAATAAAATATATTTCAAATAAAACTCAAAAAATTATTTCTGGTTTTTTTCTACAGTATCCATGAAGATCTTTACAAACAGACCTTTTCAAATCAGCCATAGAGCTTGCTTTCACTTCCTCATAATGCTTAGCTATCAACTCATCTGTTTACTCTATCTGGACACATTTTTACATTACATAAAAGTTCTTACTATTTTCTCTACTTTCAAAACTTTATGGAAAGATGCCATATAACAGATGCTATTCTTAGGTTGAGAGAAGATTCAAGATTTAGAGCATGTCTGCCATGGAAGAATAATTTCCTTTATCCAACTTTCCTTTATCCAAGGACAGACACAATGCACAACAGTTGACAATGGTCCCACTAAGGATTCCATTTCTCCTTGGGTGCCAAATCCAGCTAAGTTTTGCTTTGGTCCATTATGCTAATCAGTCTTCTGTCATTTCTGATTAGCATGAATACCTTCAGACACTTGATTTAAATTGAGCAGCCTCTTGACTCCACTTCCTTAGCTCTATTGACAACTCTTATCATCCCTTTGATTTCCATGGAGCCCAGAACACTGTCTAAATACTCAAGAACTAGCCTGTATTTCTCTGAGCTAATGATACTTATGTGATCCCCATATTACAAGGTAGTAAAAGTGCTGAAACATTTCCCATCCTTTGACCCACTTGCAGGCCAGCTCTGCTCTAAGGTAACTTCTATAGTGTAGAGCCACAACTGGTCCACTTTCTAGAAGAAATCATGGCAACTGAAGAGGCAGCGCATAGATGTATCAGGATCTTCTGATCCCTGAGCACCTGTCAGTCAACCACATCACACTGTATGGCACATCTGCTGCTCTAAGAATGCCAAAACACTATTTTTGTTAAGTTCTGTGAATCACATTGCAATGAATTCTGATACAAGATTCTTTGTTTCTAAAATGTTCCTAAAGTTTGATATTAATAGCTAATGGAGTGTCTGGTATGGTGGCACAGCCCTGTAATTCCAGTGGTTCCAGAGGCTGAGGCAGGAAGATTACAAGTTCAAAGCCAATCTCAATAATTTAGTGAAGCCATCAGCAACTTAGTGAGACCCTGTCTCAAAATTTAAAAAAAAAAAAAGGGCTAGGGGCTGAGGATATAGCTCAGTTGGTAGAGTGCTTGCCTCACATGCACAACGATCTGGGTTCAATCCCCAGCACCCCCCCAAAAAAAGAGGGGGCGGCTGCGGATGTGGCTCAGTTGGTAAGCACCCCTAGGTTCAATTTCCAGAAACCAACAAAAAAAGCTAAAGGAATCTACATTATTGACCAATTTTTGTACTATTTTAATCCTGAGCCTAAAAAGAAATAAAATCATCATGCTTGTTTCTTCGTTGTTTGTTTTTAACAACTTTTCCTTGGACTATTTTTGGATTTTAAAGCCTTCGGTGGACTAGACTTGCTGAATATACCTCATTCTCCACTATCCTTCACTTACCACCTACTCTAGGGTCAAGCTACTGTTTGCACTGCCCTATAACTACACCAAGCACATCCCTGTGTCTGGGATTCTAATTTGATGGCTCCCCTCCTCTGGGATGATTTACCTTCTAGAAGAGACTCTCTGTTTCAAGGACTCAGTATGTCTCCCCTCATTTATTAATTATTCCCTGCCTCCTCCACCTTTCTTTAGTCTTTCACTCCTCCAAGTTCCTAGAGCAATTATAAGCTGTACTTTTACATTTCACATATAACTGTAAACAATCTAATGCTATTTTTAGACTGTCAGCTTTTAGATACAGAGCTCAAGGGAAAGTTCTGTCAGATACCTAGACAGTTAGAACTCAGTACCACTCCATAAGTAATTCAAATTATTTTAGAACTGGAAGGGACCTTGGAGATCACTTAGTCCTAACCTCCATTTCATACAGGAAGAATATGCAGCCCATAATTGACTCATTAATCTATTTGCAAATGAATTATAATTATTCATTAATATGCATTTACTGGAGCAACCAAATTGTGCTTTTCATCATGATTTAGTAAATAAAGATTGCAATGAACAGCAGGTCAGGCAAACACTTAAATAACATTCTGTTATGTGAAACACAGGAAACAAACCTACCTGCAGCTCCAACTGAGCAGGCAGCATTAGAGGAGAGAAAAATAGTTACATTACCAATTGGATTGGAAGACTTCCCTTCAGTTGGTCATTACCAATCTGGATAAAAAAGATGAAAAAATACATAGCCCTGCTTTTTAGAATATGTAAGAGGAAAAAACAAGATAGGTCAACTAAGACTGACTTCTAAAAGCCACATGCCTGTGGCTTTTGTTGTGACACAAGGAAACTTATACAGAACCTGTACCCCAACTTCTTCAAGAACAAGTACAGAATAGACTATGCTTATACATCTACAGCTTCACTACATGTGTAAGCTTAAAGTCTTTTCCTTCAAAGAAAAAATAAAATAAAATCTAGCAAGCATTTCTCTGGACTTAGTAAAATATCAGAATAGCCAAAGCAGAAAAGGTAGTAATTGAAAAGAGAAAAAAGTGAAGATTGGGAAATAAAGTAGAACAATGGATAAGAAGATATTCATAGCTTTTTGTTTTTCTGGCCTATATTTACATGTTTATCGATCCTTTTGAAGTAGTACACACTGAGCCACAGTTGTATGTGTTTCAGTTTATAGGACCCTCATAAAGGGTACTGAGATAAAGAGTTCTTAAGAGCCCCTCAAAGCTGTCATGTACCTATGAACGTTTAAAAGTATTTTTACATGAAGGCCTGGACTATTTTTCAAGGTCCCTTCTAGCCTATAGGCAAATAAGAAAACCAAAAGAGGTAGCTGAACCCAATTTCTCTTACCCACAGCAAGATCCCTTCACAATGTTATCTGTACCTACTACCATGGACCCTCTGAATACAGTTTAACTTATCATCTTTTTTTTTTAAAAAAAAAAAAAGAAGAAGACCAAAAGAAACATAATCTAAACCAATCATCCATTTAAAATTTGTAAAGCCTGGAAAGTTGTGTAAAAAATCTTTTTCATCTAAAGTCAAGTACAAATCAAAGTCTTTTTATGTTCAGCTGGCCACAAACATGGGTTTTATGTCATTGCTTTTTGTCTGCATAGACATCACACAAAACCATACTGTTTTCTACAATACAATCCCTGCAGTTACTGAGACTCAAATGCTGACTGTGAAATAGTAAGAGAAACACACATCTTAACTGGAAATCATGGAAGCCCTGTAGTCTCATGATCTAAGGCCAAGACACAGGTCACATAAGCGAGATGTTAGTTAGCTCCTGACATACAACTTTACTTCATGCTGTCCCAAGTGTGTGGACTATACCTGTCATATCAACTTGGACACAGTTCCCTTTGCATTGACAAATAGTAGTGACACTTGCCAGTCTCCCCCTGGAAATAGTAGATAACCAATTTTAGTTCCCCACAATTAACTTGAGAGCTATGATTAGAAACAGACAAGCCTGGCTTAAAATAATTAACATAAATAATTAGGGATAGGGATGTAGCTCAGTGGAATGTGCTTGCCTAGCATGCAGAAAGCCCTAGGTTCCATCCCTAGCACCAAAAAGAAATAAAAGAAAAAATATATATAATAATTATAATTAAGTATACTTATTTCTCCATTTCTAATCTATGAACTTAGAGATGTGAAGAGCTATCTTATTTTTACTATACTAATCCAGGAGCTGCCAAAATCCAGGCTGATAAAATCTAGGACCAGCCATGCCAGCCTGCCATAGGATACGGAAACATTAAGAAAGAGAACTTTCTTGCAAGCATATGATAGGCTAGATAACAAGATTTCAAAGTGGATGGTGAACAGGCTGGAACACCATGCGTTGAGGGGAAGAAGGAGACCAGCTGTAAGAATGAGCATCCCACTTACTCGGATGCGTTTGGCCCTGCGCATGTCATCTGCGGTCAAAGTGCTCTGGGTGGGTACCACACTCTCTTCATGCTGTGGCTGTAGGTGAAGGGTGTGAGTTTCTGGTTCTTGTTCCAGAGACGACCGAGTTTCCTGTGGCAGCTGAGGGATTGGGATAGTGGTCTGTTCCGGTTGATCCAGCCCATTCAGAGTAGCTGGTTCAGCCTCATCAAACTGCTCCTTTGTGGGAAAATGTAGCAAGTCCTGAAATTTGCAATAACCAAGAATTATATACTTACCTAGATAGAGATCAGTGCTAGAAGGACTACCGGCTCAGATTTAGAATTGCTGCTTTTTAAAAAATTTTTCTTAAGAGACAGGGACTTGCTATATTACCTGGGCAGGGCCCAAAATCCTATACTCAAGTGATCCTCCCCACTCAGCCTCTCAAGTAGCTAGCCACTGTGCCCAGCTATTGCTTATTTTTTAAATGACCAGATTCATAATACTCAGAGAAAAAAAAAATACTCTCCCTCCGGGAAAATTAATTAAATACACACAAAATACAAAAATCACGAGATATTTCAGACCACTGAATGGGGAGGATCATGATATGAACCTTCACAAATATCAAATTTTGTAATGGTTTAAATTAATAAAACAAAATTGCCTCTTTAATATCTCTGGCCAATATCAAATTTTGGGGGGCAGCAAAGTTGAGTTTTTGAATAACTGTGAATAATTGTGAATAACGCTTGAAAATACATGCTTTCTGCCCTTCTCCAAATCCCACTTAAGTTAACAAGCAGCAAAGCTCTGATTCTTTGACAGGACTATTAACATCTGAAAGGTGCTTGTGTTTAAATCCAGCCAGAGTTCTGAAAGTTCTCTAAACAAGCATCTAAGAAGGAGTTCTTTCCCAATTCCCAGTACCTGTGTCCCATCATCACTTTTCTCTCCATTTTCACTGGTTATTTCCAAGCGGATAAATTTTGGAGGACGCCCTGGCCTTCGACCTGGACCAAATCGTCTCTTGCCTCGTCCCCTCCCTCTGCCTCTTGTTCTGGGGACAAAAGATTGGGTTATGGATAGTTATAGTTACACCATACTCCATAAAATGTTTCCCTAAATGGTCTGTACTAACCCCAGATTTTGAGTTCCCCTCACTTGATTAATTTCCCTGATTCTTTTCTCTAATGGAAACACTTTCTAAAGTTCTTATCTTTGCCCTCTCTAAAGCATAAAGAGGTGTCTTCAAATTATTCTGGGGGAAAAAAAGAGAGCTATGTAAACACAAAGTGCTGACAACTTTTTGCTTCTGAAAGGAGGTGAGAAATGCAGACAGAACATGCTAAGCCTAGTGTGTTTTGAGGACATGTTATCTTAGACAAGATTCCAGCCTTCCTCTCTTAACCTCAGTTCAAGATTTCTTCCACAAAATGTGGCTAAATGCAAAGTATTTTGTTTTACCAAAATCTTCAGGAGAGGGCTGGGGATGTGGCTCAAGCAGTAGCGCGCTCACCTGGAATGCTTGCGGCCCGGGTTCGATCCTCAGCACCACATACAAACAAAATCTTCAGGAGGGTTAGTACAAATTTCTAATTCAACTATTCCAAACACCAAATTGTTTTATTTTATTTTATCTTGCTGTTGACATTGTAACTGGCACAACCCTTTTGTTTCCACATTTTTTTATTAATGCATTATAGTTGCATATAATGGTGGGATCTGTTGTGACATATTCATTCACCACACAATATAATATAATTTGGCCAATATCATTCTCCAGTATTTCCCCTTTCCCTCCTATCCTTCCTTTCCTTGGTCCCTTCCCCCTACTGATTGCCCTTCCATTTTCATGAGATCCCTCCCACCTTTCCTTTTTCCTCTCCAGCTTCCACATGAGAGAAAGTATATGACCCTTGACCTTCTAAGTTTGGTTTATTTTGCTTAACATAATGTTCTCAAGTTTCATCCTTTTTCCTGCAACTAACAATTTCATTATTCTTTATGGCTGAATAAAACTCCATTGTGTACATATACCCATTTTCTTTATCCATTCATCCATTGATGAACGCCTACTTTGGTTCCACAGTTTGGCTAAGATACTGAATAAATTTTACCTCCTTTAATGAATGACTAACATACAAAAATTCCTTATTAAGATATTTCAAAAGTACATCACAAAACATCTTTTAGATATTTTGTGAATATCCATCATATCATACTCTTCTACATAGCTATTTAACAAAATTTTTCTTTTCTTTTTTTTTTTCTTTTCTTTTTTTTCAATGTTGCCCAGGCTAGTCTCAAATTCCTGAGCTCAAATTCCTGCCTTAGTCTGCCAGGTAGCGGGAACTACAGGCACATGCTCTCTACTCACTCTCAAGTATGGAAAATTCTAAACACACACAATACCATTATCACACCTAAAAAAAAATCAGGTAGTTGCTCAATATTATTATATCTAGTCAAAATTCAGATTTTGCTCATTTGTCTCAAATTTATTTTATCAGATAGAAAGTGAACATTTTTCTATGTGTCATACACTATGCTTGGCACTAAAGATATCAAGTTAAAGGTGATCTTATCCTCAGAATTTAGCAGAGGCAGCAGGCCTGTAAGTCAAAAATCCTAATATAATATAAAAAATGATATAATAGAACCATGAAAAGTGAGAAAACCTAGGAGTAAATATCTTGAATCTCATTGCATCCATCACCTTCAGATATTTATCCCCAAGGTCATATCTTAGACCTGTCATCCTCAATACAATCCCACTGCCCCTGTTTCCACAAAGGCCCATTCTGACACACTATCTCCTACCTCTCCAGCTCACTCTCTCCAATACTCAAATTCAATAACCCTTCCACCCCCATCATCTCCCATCCAATCCTTCCTTTGTCCATAGCACACCTCAAAGGTCATTCACTGCAATCAATCCCTTGTATTTTCTCTGATCCCCATCCGAGTTGCTGCTTCTTTGTTGTCACTGTGTTGGATGCTCTCAGCAAAACCACATTTTTTGTAACCCAGTTCCCTGCCTGCACTGCAGCAGCTGGATGGGGCTCGAAAACAACATACAGTCTTGCTTGTAGTCTCTCATTTTATGACTGTGAACCTCATATGGACATTCAGTGTTGCAGGCAACTGTACAGTACTTCCCTAGAATATTCTCTTTCCCACTTTCCTAAGTGAGGTTTCACACCATCTTGTATCTTTCCAAATCCTTTAAGTGGACAATCCTACATCTGTCCCATCTAATCTAAAGAACACTCTTCCCTCACCTGAACTGTTGCAATAGTTCTGACTGAACTCTGGGTCTTTCCTCTTACTCCAATATACCCTTACCCTGATGTTTAAATGCTATCTGAAGGATTCCTACTTCATAATCTCTAGTTAAGGGAGACTTAACTGAAGTAAGGGGATTTTCCATTGTTGGGTATTGGTTATGCTAAAAAAGCAATAAATAGTAAATAAGGAAGGGGTTAGTTATGAAAGACAATCCTCGATAACTACCTAACTGGTTACCTGTGTAAGCATACACACTCATTAGTCTATGTACAAAAATGATTCCAAACCTGATTTGTGAGCCTTTGTCCTCATACATACCTGCTAAACACATCCAGTTTCTCATCATGAGAATTGAGATGCTGCTGCAATTGCTCTGAGCTTATAAACCGGCGGTTACATTCATAGCAGGGCCAATTCTTCTCTTGCTCTCGAAGAACTACAATCACAGGAGAGAAATCATGAAAGCTGATGATCAACAGACACCAGGAAAACTCAGATGCCTGTTTTCTCTGCCATTCTTATCTTCCTGCAGACAGTATCTGCTATTTGTATGACTTTCTTGTTATAAAATCAAAGACTAGAATTTGGCACAGAGGTGAGTTATAGGCTCTTATTTTCTGACACATTCATGCAGGACATCAAAGGAACAACACGCTCACACCACTCTACACACACACACACCCTTCACCCAGAAAGAGAGAAAGCACTGTAAGGAGATCTGCATATAGATAATCCAGTGATTCAGATCCAAGTTTCATAATATTCCTTTTCTTTTATGGTACTGGAGATTGAATCCAGGGGCAAGTTTTACCACTAACCTATATTCTAGCCCTTTTTATTTTCATTTTCAAACAGGGTCTCTAAGTTGCTGAGGGTCTTGCTAAATTGCCCAGGATGGCTAGATTTAAAGGTGTGATTCTCCTGCCCCAGCTTTCTGAGTCACCAGAAATACAGGTATGCACCACTATGTCCCGCCCAAGTCTCATAATTTAAGGGTATATTTTATCACAAATAACTTAAAAATCAATGCCCAATATAATGACTTCAGTAAAATGTTTGGAAGTAACTCCTAAAGCTGAATATATGCATAACATAGGACCCTGTAATTCCACCCCTAGATGTACACCTAAAGGAAATGTGCACACGTGTTCACCAAAGACATGTACAAAAACAGTCAGAGCAGGCACTTTTTAAAACAGCCCAAAACTACGAACAATCCTGATATAAGATAAAGAATCTGGCCAACCTTAGTCTCTGGCTCCTGGGAGGAAAGCTCTTAGTAGCTGGAATTTCCTGAGTGATAGAAGTGCCTTTGTTATCATCATGGCCCCTCATCCTACCTGAGTTTATGCTAAGGAGATGACTCAGAGTCAGGGGTAGCAGTGTTAGAAAGTTCAACCTTGTGATTAGGTTGGTGCTTTGCCAGGTGCTTGGCACACACCTGTAATCCCAGCCACTTTAGAGGCTAAGAAGAGAAAATCACAAGTTCAAGGCCAGTCTGAGCAACTAAAGGAGACCTTGTCTCAAAATAAAAAATAAAAAGGACTGGGATAGAGCTCAGTGGTAGAGCGCCCTGGCTTCAATCCCCAGTACCACAAAAAAAAAAAAAGGGGGGGGGGTGTGGTGCTTTGAATCAGTTAATACCAGCCCTACCTCCCAGAGGAGAATGAGAGCTAGAAATTGAGTCCAATCACATGACCATTAATTCAATCATGCCTATATAATAATGCTTCAATAAAAACTCTGAATGGCAAAGCTTAAATGAGTTTCTATGATTGGCAATGATACATCAATGTGCCAGGAGAATGATATATCCTGAGAGGACACAGAAGCTTCATTGGGGACCCTCCTAGACCTCACCCTAGTTCTCCTCATTTGGCTAATCCTGATATATATATCCTTTATAAAAAACTGTGACCATTAAATAAAGTGCTTTCCTAGGTTCTATTGAGTCATTCTAGTTAATTATCAAACCTGAAGAGCAATAGAGAGCTCCCTAAATTATAGCTAGTAGTATAGGTAGGTTGGGAACCACGGAGCTTGCATCTGATATCTGAAGCGAGGGGACTCTTAATGAAAACTGTGCCCTTAACCTGTGAAATTTGACCTAATTCTGGGTACTTACTATGATAATTGCATTGTACAATCAAATCTACAGCATAATAGATAAATAAATGGTTATACATTTATACAACAGAATACCAAACAACAATAAAATGAATAAATTGCAATCATATCCAATAATATGGATGAACCTCACAATGCTGAGTAAGATGCCCAGACACAAAAAGTGTATATATCATTCTATTTATGTGCAATTCAATAACAAGTAAATCTTATGTGTGGTATTGAAAGTCAGGAGAGTAATCACATTTGGGAACTTACACAGAGAGTAATCACATTTGGGAACTTACATGAGTTCACTGTAAAAATTCATCAAGCAGTATACATAATAATTTGTTCACCTTTTTATACAGAGATGGCATTTCAGTTAATATTTACATTAAAGATAAAGTGAATGCCTGCTTTACCATGTCCTCAAAGATGTTCAAGTCCAGATAAGAATTGTCCTCTGATCTAGGTTCTAATTTAGTATCTGCAGGTTTTTATTATATTAAATACTATTTTCTAGCACCCATGAAAGAAATGTAAATATGTCATTGTAATTTGATCCTACAGTTAGATGGAGGTGTGTAGCTCTAAGAACCTGGAATATCTTCTGAAATACACTGAAATGAAAAAATTAGAGGTTGCATGAAGATGTAACATATACAACTTAGAATTCATGTAGAAAATATACAATATAAAAGTCCAACCACCTTTCCTTTCTTCCTCAGAGATGTCATGAATTTTCTGGTTCACAAACTCAGCATAGGATGCAGCATACCACACCTGCAAGAACCAAGGACATCAAGAATTAAGGAACATCACCAGATGTGCTTTGCATGCTTACATTATTTCTCCTGTTAAATGAAACAATTCAGGCTTTTTCACAGCCCATTAAAAAAAAAATCACACTGTGAACCTGGCTCCCCAACACCCATCTGGCAGATCATCTGTCAGGAAGTCAAGACACATTGCCTGTTTTCTTTTCCCTTTTTAAAAATTCTGTGTTTTTTTTTTTTTAATTAGAATAACTCCAGAAGAACTTTATTCATAGTCTCTTCATTTAGATAAAACAGCCTCTTCTGATTTGTAAAATAATAATAATAATAGAGCTATATTTAAACACAGATTTGAATACAGCTGCAATCATAGTGGCTGCCACCAAATAACTCACACTGTGATCACAAATGGGACTGTACCAAACACTTCCACATTCTCCCAGGGCTCTTCTCTCCTACGCCAGTGATAGCTGTTTCTCTCCTACCCCAATAGCTGCTTCTGCTCACTCACCTTAGCTGGCTCCTCTTCCACCTAACTTCCCAATATTAGTGCTCCTCAAAGCTTAATTCAAGTCCTGAGCCTTCTTATTTTTCCCTCCACTGATCACATCAATTTCTAACCACTCTATACTAATGATTCCCAAATTAATATCTTCATCCCAGATCCCCCTTCTCTGATCACTCCAAATGTATTCTATTTCTGATCTGATATTGGGGATATTTCACAAACAACTTAAATTTAACATGCCCAGAATGGAATTCTTGATGCTTCCCAACTCATATCTCCACCTCTACCTAACTTCTCATTTCAATTGCCTCACCTTCCCCCCAAGTGCTCAAACTTAAAACCTAAAATGTATCTTTGGTTTCTCCATTTGTTTCTGTAATCCTTCAGTAGAACTGTCACTTCCTCAGGTGTTCTCCATCTCTGCTTCTTCCACCTGGAGGCATGCCACCACCATCTCTTGCCTTCAAACTAGCCTCCCTTTTTCCTTGCAATCCACACAGGAGCCAAAGTCTTCTTAAAATAATTGTCTTCTTAAAACACAATTGAATTTTGTTTTACCAGAAATGGCTTATTTCATAATAAACCTGAAATGTTCATGATAATCCTCCAAGGGCTCCATGATCTCCTCTATCTTACTAAGAAACCTCAGCTCCTATCACTTTGCCCACCTTTAGGCCAAGATGGCCTACACTCAGCAACTCAAACATGCCCAGTGCCTTCCCATCCAAGCCTTTGCCCTTGTTGGCTCACCCCCTGGAGTGCAAGGTTCTTCTCCTTTGCTCTTCTTATAACCCTCTGCAGGACTGGTCTCTTCTCATTCCCAGACCTCAGCCTATCACCTCTTAAGCAAGGCTTTTTCTATGAAGCACATCTAAATTGGTCCCTTTCCCGTTATTTGCTCTTTCTGCACCATGAAACTTAACTCCTATTGGATATTATTTATTTGTTTACATCTTTCTGTCCACTTCCCCCCTAGAATGCAAGTTCCCTGAACATAGGGAAACAAGCTTGTTTTTTTCCTACTGTCTGAAACACAGTAGGATTTCAACTTATTAATCACTAAATGACTTAATCATATGTAACTTTTATAGAACATCAATTTAAATATAAGGGAATATTTATAAAGGCAGACTTCATTTTGAATGGTGGAGTAATATTATGTAGAATCTGTATTCCATAATTGACTCAACTGTGCCCCTATGGTTGTACTTTTAGGTGGTTTATATTTTGCTATTAGAAACACACACTAATCCATCAATTCCAAGATGTATCTTTTTTCATATTTAACATCTCAGAAATCAGAAAGCATCTCCCACTCTGGTTGGCATCCTACAATTGCTGCCATGATGCAGCACTCAGAACCTGCACAACACTCCTGCACAAGTCTGGCCCAGCTCTCTGCACTGTTCTTACCTCATTCAGTTATAAGCCCCCTTTGGGTTCCATGACTTGTTGACACCTGCCAAGCACTACAAATGAAGGCCAAAAAAACTGCCATTTCCCTCAGAATAAGAAAAAATTTCAAAGTGGTTAAGAGACTGGTTAGCATTCTACAGGCCTCTCATTAAGGCTTCAGTCAGAACTGTCAGAAACTTCCTACTGACTTGATCAAAAAACACTTCGCTTCCAAGGGCCTGTGATTCAATTTAGGAAAAAGACACAGATGAATTCAAATGAATGTGAAAGCACAATATTCAAACTTGATAGGGGTATGGCTCAGTGGTACAGCACAAATGTCAGGCCCAACTCCAACCACCATGCATACAAAAAGTTACGTGGTATGGAACAAGATCCCAGAGGCAATAGTGGAATATTTATTTTTTTACTACCTTTATTTGTTTTATTTTGATGTGGTGCTGGGGATCAAACCCAGTGCCTGACACATGCTAGGTAAGCACTCTACTACTGAGCAACGTCCCCTGCCCTGGACTATTTTTTTTTAAAAGATTGTGAGGAGTTGGGATATGGCTCAGTAGTAGAACAAAATCCTACCGCATGTGAGGTCCTGGGTTTGATCCCAGGCGCAAAATATATATGTAAATATACATATAACAATACCAAGGACTGGAAATATACATATAACAATATCAAGGACTGGGATGTGGCTCAGGGGTAGAGTATTTTCACAGCATGCATAAGTACCACACACACACACAAAATATATCATCAATATCATCTTAATGGAACAGAAGATGGCAGAAGACAGAAAAGCAAAAACATGAGGCCTATACTTATAATCCCAGGTACTTAGGAGGATTACAAGTTTGAGGCCAGCCTATGAGACTTAGTGAGACCTTGTCTCAAAATAAAAAACAAAAAGGGCTGGGGAGGTAGGTCAGTGGAAGAACATTTACCTCAGATGCAAGAAGCCAGGAGTTCAATCCCCAGTACCGCCCCCAAAAATCACAGACATCATGACGTAAACCAGTGATTGAAAGGGGAAAAAGTGACAATGCATAAAAAGCAGTTTTATATCTTAACTTTTTACCTAAGTATGCATTTTCATGCATGCACAAGGATGATATGATTTAAAAATTATTTCTAATTAAATCTAAAATAGCTCTTTTGATAAGTATAAAGTAACCATGTTTATCAATTTAAAAAATGCAGGCAGGGTGAGTGGCTGGACCAGCAGCGGTGGGTACAAGGCCAATTCTGGGTGCTTGGGATCCCCATTATGAACAAAAGGAGAATACGGCTGAGAGAAATAGCAGCAAAAAACAAGCCGGAAGATGGTGGGAAGAACAATAGTAGCCATGTAAAGACTGTTTGTTTTTGTTTTTGTTTTTGTTTTTAAAGCTGATTGAATGTCTGCCAAAATGTTCAAGTCCACCAAAAGAGAGGCACTGTTGTGACACTAATGAGAGATCATGACACAGCTGTCCTTGGTTGGATTTCTTTTTAATAATGTGTGACCTTCATCTTTGATCCCCTGATCTGCATTACATTAGATAACATTTCATGTTTAAATTTAATTCTGTTTTTAAATTTTTGGTGTATATGTTGGAACATCTCATTTCTCAAAGCTTAGCACACTGATTTCCTTTAAGTGATAATGAATTTGCAAACTGTCGTCTTCATGTTCTACATTATAAATCATTTTAGTTTTAAATACACACACACACACACACACACACACATATATATAAATAAAATTTTAAGCATTTAAAAATAGTTTAATTGGGGAGTTTTTTTTGTTTTCTCTTTTGTCCATTCTGGATATGGAACCCAGGGCCTCATACATGCTCACTCTACCTCTAAGCTATAACCCCAGCTGCACCACACCCTCATGCACTATTGGGGAATGAACTTTACCACTAAGCTACATTTCCAGCACCTTTCCTTATTATTTTGAAATAGAATCTCATTATGTTGCCCAGGCTTATCTCAAACTTTCAGTCCTCCTGCCTCAGCTTCTTAAGTCACTAGGATTACAGGTATGCACCACCACACCTGGATTAAGGGTTAATTTTTTTTTTTAACATTTCTTTTCCCTTTGTAAATAGAGTCTATTCTTGATATTTGTTCATTTGTCCATCTGGATGTAGCTAAGTTGAAGGTATACAACTCTTTGTCTCAGTCATCATACTTAAAATATTTTATCCTGTATTACAAATACTTCCCCATTTTCTCATTCCTTCTATCTGTTGTTTTGGTTGTTTTATTGTACTCAAATATTAAATTCCTATTTAATTATTTCTATTAATCTTAACCTCTACAGTTACACTTACTTTTTTACAAGAGAAAACAGAGCTAGAGTAAGTTAGTTCAGTGGTGCAGCACTGGAATAGATGGCATGAGATGTTAATCTCCTTTGACATTCTTTTTACATATTTTCTTCATGGCTGGTGGATTATCTAGCTGATGGTTTCCAAGACAGAGGTTTTGCACCTTTTGAATAAAATCCAGGACTTTGTTCTCCCACTAAAGAGGAGCAATCAGTTTCTAACATTGAGACACTATGCAATTCAGTGTTCATGTACTGACATAATCATTTCTCATCTATTTTGTTATTTACCTCAGGAAGTTAAAGAGTACTTTGGCCCCCCTCTTTTGTCCATGTTCCTAATATATGCTAAAGAAGGAAGGAAGGAATCTTGGGCAGGAAGAGTTGCTTATTGATCAAGCACTTGCCTAATGTGTAAAGCCCTGGGTTCTATCCCTAGCAGCATAGGAAAAGAAAAAAAAAAGAATTTTTCTTTTGGAATCATACCAAAATTTCATTATGTCATCAAAAGTCAATATTTAGACAAATTCTAACAGGGTTACCCCCAAAATACATATTTCTGAAATCAGAAGTCAAAGAATTCTTTGAATAAAATGAAGTATTCAGATAAAGAAAAGGAATCTTGCCCATCCATCTGAATTTTATTTTATAAAATCCCACATTTCACAACAAATTCTTCTTTAGTTATGTATAAATGACATTAAGTGATACTATCTTTAATTACCCCATCACAAATATCAGTCAGCTCCCCATACAATCACTTTCTTATCCCCAGACCTAATGCCTTTCTGTAGGCTCTTGATGAGAACAGAGCCCATCTACTTCTCATTGTTTTATTTACAAGATTATTACCGATCTGTAGTACATAGTACAGTCAGCCCTCTATATCCATGGATTCCCCCAACTGCTGACCAAAAATACTGTCCAAAAAAATTACATCTGTACTTAATATACAGAGTTTTTCTTGTCATTAGTCCCTAAACAATACAGTATAAAAACATTTATATAGCACTTATATTTTATTAGGTATTATAAATAATCTAGAAATAATTTAAAATACATGGGAAGAATGTGTAAGTTCTATGCAAATATTACACCATTTTACATAAGGATCTTGGGGGAATCCCGGAACCAATTTCCCCTAGGGATGGCTCCAGAGGTAAATAAATTACCAGTAAAGAACCATTTTAGTAAGAATCATACTTACTAGAAGGAAAAAAATTAGGATAAGTTCTTTTTTAGCAGAGAGCCCTCCAGATCCAGCACTATACCTTCAGTTCCTGCTTGGGTTCCACATTCTTTATCGTTGTATAATACACATGGTGGCCATATTGGTAAGCCACCAGGTTCTGCTCCAGGTGGTTTTGGGCTGGACGTACAAACATCATCCAGTTACACAGGGTCTCATCAGACAACTCAAACCATAGGTCTTCATGCAAATCCCTGTCTTTTCTGTCCCCTTTATCAAGAGAAACCTGCAACCAAAGAAAAGGTAAAGACCCACACCAAAAAAACAAAACCTTCAATATACTATTAGCAATAATATACAAAATATTTCTCCTTAAATTAACCATATATCTTCCCTTTGTATCTAGAAAGATACTAGAATTGTGACTTACCAAACATAAAGAGAAAGAAAGGATACTTCCTGAAACCTCTCTTACCTATAGGAGAATTACATGGCAAAATCTAAAAGTTCACCAATAAAACTACATAGCTTTAGTTAATATCTCACAAAACTAGCACAACCAAAACTGCTGTAAATAAAAATCAAGCATAATACTCTCCACTTCATTATAATTTGCATCCTTTGGAGATTCAACTGTATCCATTTATAATATTCAGCCCAAAGACAGGTAATATTCTTGCTTGGAGATCTTGAGCATTAGTTTAAAAGAAATCCTCCCTACAACAGCAGCTAATTTCTCTAAATAACATTTCAGATATTCACCCTTTCTTACTGCCCTTTCTTAGTGCTTCAGAGTAGCTATTCAAAACAGCAGATAGTAAAGAGGGTTGGATAGAAGCAAAATCATTAAAAGTAAAGAATGCAGATCAAAATAAATATTCTTCAACATACAGCAAACTTATTTTTTGTTGTTTTGGGGTAGGTTTCTTATTTGTTTTTTGTTTTTGTTTTTGCAGTGCTGGGGATCAAACCCAGGGTTTTGCACATGCTAGGTAAGAGCTCTACTACTGAGTAACAGCCTAGCCCCAGTGAACAATTATTTAACAGAAAAAATTCAAACCGAGCCTGTTTTAATATTGAAAAGTGGGGTATTTTGCAAACATTAATGGCACACAGCAGATTACATACATCCGTGTAATTTTCTGTATTCCAAAGTACTGTGTTTTGGGGCTGGGGATATCGCTCAGTTGATAGAGTACTTACCTTGCATGCACAGGGCCTGGGTTCCATCCCCAGCATCCAAAAAAAAAAAGTATCCAAAGTATTTTGTTTTTGTTTTCCTTTGTTTGTGGTACTAGGGATTGAACCCAGGGGCACTATAACACTGAGCTATACCTCAGCACGCTTTTTTATATTTTTTATTTTGAGGCAGGATTTTGCTAAGTTGCCCAGTCTATCCTCCAACTTGAGATCTTCCTGCCTCAGCTTCCCAAGTTGCTGGGATCACATGTGTATACCACCATGCCCAGCCACATTCCAAAGTTCATTTTAAAAAAAGAAATGAAAAAAAAAAAAAAAAAAAAAACCACACCAATTTCTCTGTTTTGTGTTGAATTTTGTGTCCCTCAACCTCTAAGTCATGTGGGGACCCTGTAACCTCCAGTACTTCAGAATGAGACTGCATTTAGAGATAGAACCTTTAAAGAGGTAATGAAGTGAACATAACATAATTAGGGTACACCCTAATCTAATATGACTGGTCCATTTAATAAGAGGAAATCAGAAAAGACACACATAAGTACAGAGGAAAGACCCTGTAAGTGCACAATAAGAAGACAGTCATGTGCAGGTCAAGGAGAAACCTGCCAACACATTAATGTTAGATTTCTAACTCCAGAGCTGTGAAAAAAGAAATTTCCATTGCTGAAGCCTCTCAGTCTATAGCATTTTACTATGTCAATTCTAGCATATTACTACAGACCCTAAAAACCACACTTCTCAGAATTATTCACAGGGGTCTAAAATTATGACCTCCATTTTATTGGGGCGGGGAGTAATGTTTCCATTTAAAATTAAGCATAAAAAGAAAAATACTAGCAAATGACTGTTATGAAATGAAAACAAAAGACTCAGCAAAAGAAATGAATGCCCCTTGAAAAACTGTTAAAGAAGGGAGTGAAATAGGAAAAATTATAAATTACCTTTAGATGAATGTAACAGTCTTTCAGTTCAGACCCCCTGACAAGGGGTCCCTCCACAGGGCCAAACTGGGTACGCTTGGGAATGCGCCTTTTTGAAAACACTCCTCCAAGGAACCTGTCTATGTAGAGGACCAGGGGGAGACTCGCTCTTGCCCGAGTGAGCACAGGCCGATTGGGGATGGGATGCAAGGGGCCATGCTTGGGGCACACTGAAGAATGGGCATTATTACATTCCTCACACCCTGCAAAAGAAAAAAACCTTGAAGAATAGTCAAGTTTCTTGACATCATTTTACTCTCAGGTAAAATGCATGCATTTCTAGCTCATTCTAAAAAACTCAGTTTGCACCAAGCCAGTCACATTTCCTGTTTGCCAGTAGCACCCATGTATACATTATCCACCAGAATAAGATGTACATCACCATAAAGCAGGGGAACAGTGGCTGGACCATACAGTATTCACATTCATGTTTCACCATTTCACCTTCTTCAGCAATGTGGTAATCTGGTTTAGATATTTTTAATTCCTATAATTCTCAAATAATGGAGAACAACTTTGTATTAATATTTATTATTAAAGTGGCTTTCTGTGCATTTGACTTAGGAGTTCCCCTGAAAACTTGTGAGTTCAAGGAAAAATTAAACAAGTAAGTTTTCTGTTGGGTAATAATTAAGTACAGGGCTGAACACTGGCCCCCTGGAGAGAGAGCTTACCAGCACCACATGGATGGCCCAGGAGAGGTAGTGTAAGGCCACAAAGCTCTGAACAATCTCATTCACTCAAATGAACGAGGTCAGAACTTTGCTATATGTACGTGTAGATCCACAGATAAAACAATGATTTGGTAATGGAAACTCTTAATTTTTTTGTTTTGTTTTGTTTTTTTAGTACGAGGGATTGAACCCAGGAATACCTTACCCCTGAGCTTCACTCCCAGCCCTTTTTATTTTGAGACAAGTTCTCACTTAATTGCTGAGGATCTTGCTAAATTGCTGAGGGTCTTCCTAAATTGTTGAGGCTAGCCTTGAATTTACGATCCTCTTGCCTCAGCATTCTGAGCCACTGGAATTACAGATGTGTACCACTGCACCTGGCTGGGAAGCTCTTCTAGTGAAGAAAGTGACAAAGCAAACTTGTTAGAACTGATATGGCTGAATAGTCCAGGACTAGGTCAACTACAATAGAAAGCTGGTATCAAGAGTGACCAGACTCGGATGCCTCATCAGCCATTCACCCCATGTCACCCAGAGCAGTTGCCTAACCTATTCTGGGCTTATTTCCTCATCAGGAAAATTGGAAAACAAATACAAGTGTCATGACTCCTTCCCTGGGCTGCTGTGAAGATGAAGTGGGATGATGCACACAGAGCATGTGACACAATGTGTGGGATGTGGGAAGGATTCAGTGCAAATGAGCCATGTTCACATTCACACACACTCATAAAAAAGGTCATGTGGCTTCCTTTGAGAGTCCAGTGACTGCACTTACACAAGTCGTGGGGGTCAAAGGGCCGGGGTGGGTCTGGCTCCCAGTCATCCAAATCTGTGTCTTCACCGTCTTCTTCCTCCTCTTCTTCAGTATCCTCATCCTCCTCCTCCTCCTCTTCTTCTTTTGCCTCCAGTCTAGCTATTGGATTCTGCAGAGTTGCCAAAGGGTCAGAACCATCCACACTTTCAATGGAAGGCAGTACCTGGTTATGCACAGGTAATGAGGCCTGGAGGGAAGTTTAAGGTGGAAAATAAGCAGACATCTGCTTTCAGTCAGTTGGCACACATGCATACACAGAGGATAGGCTGTGGTGGAATATATTCTTTAAACTAGTTCTCGGCAAGGAAAATGGAAAAATGGTTTCTACCTGTAGGCTGTAAGAAATAGTCTGACTCTTTCAGATGTCTGATGCTCACAGCTTTTAAGCTCAGCTCTCTTTCCTCCCATTCTGCCTGTTATCTGAAAGGCTAAGAAGAAAGCCTGGGTCTCTCTCCTCTGATTCCAGCAGGAGATTCAAACCTAACAAGGCCCTAATCTTAAGCATCTAACTCCATCCTTTAGACGCAGTGATGCCAAGGCTCTATTCCTTGAACTGCACCCACAAGTCAATTCACACCTGCTCTAGAGGACCACCATGCTTCCTCAGAGACTTCCAGAATATGCAACATCTTTTCATCATCTCTTGGGGTATGGGGGATCCTCAGTCTTCACAGTATAAACTAAATCTGGGGTGAGGGTCCCACCTGCCCTTTCAGGATACCACCACACAAAGAAGAGAATGACTTGGCCACTCTTCAACCACTTTGTTTTTGTTTTTGTTTGTACTGGGGATTGAACCCAGGGACATTTTACCACTGAGCTACATTCCCAGCCCTATCTATTTTTTTATTTTGAGATAGGGTCTCACTAAGTTGCTGAGGCCAGCCTTGAACTTGTAATCCTTCTGCCTTAGCCTCCCGAGTTGCTGGGATTATAGAACTGTACCATAGCACCTGGCTCTTTTTTTTTTTTCCTCAAGAGATGGGGTCTTGCTATGTTCCCCAAGCCAGCCCCAAACTCCTGGGCTCAAGTGATACCCTGCTTTAGCATCCTGAGTAGCTGGAACTATAGGTGTGCACCCAGTCTGCTTTACTTCCACCACTTTTTTTCCCCCAGTTTTGAGGATAGAACTTAGGGTCTCCCTATGCTAGGATGCTGGGCAAGTGCTCTACCACTAATCTATATCCCCAGCCCCCACCTACTTCACTTTTAAATCCAAACATGGTACAATACATGGTTGGTTTAATTCTATGGTTGACAAGTCTCCTTTCAAACACTTCAGGGAGCTAAGGTTTTCAGGAAGGAACAAAGGAGATACCTATTGGCTTCCTGATGTTGAAGTCAGGCTCTTGCAAATAAAACAAGATTTGGGTGACATATTGGATTAATATTATCTCATCAAATACATGGGTAGAAAATAAATGGCACCTTAAGAAGTTCTCCTAAAAAATAAAAATTTAAAAAAAAAAGAAGTTCTCCTGCTTCTCATGTGTTATGGAGTTATATTATACCCTAGATTCCTTTTATTCAGTATTATCTCTCCTGCCCAATTAGTTCATAGGTCATATTCATGTCATGTACCCTTCCCTATTCAATGAATCAAGCATCTAAATATATCTACTCCCTTCTCTTTCTACTTCTCATATACCATTTTCTTCTCCTAGAATGTTCTTCCCTCACCAATCTTCTAAATCAAATTATGTTTCAGTTTCCCAATGAGCCCTATATGTTGCTTCTAGGCCTCTCTGACTAAACCCCCTATGTTCCAAATTCCTATAGCATTTAAGAGTCACAGAATCCAGATCTCCACAACCCTGAGCCTCATTTCCTTACCAGGCAGCCCAGATCATTCTGGGATAGCCCCGACAGCTTCTGCTTAGTCCAAATCTCCCCACACACATCTTCCATTCATTGGTCAGGGCCTAGGACTTTCCTCTGGAATTAGGTAGAATAAGTCTAATCCTTCAGCAATGTGAACTAAACACTTGAGGACCAAAAACCCCTAATTCATTCAATCATTCCTCACATGCCTGAACTACCAGGTCTCTGATCCTCTTGCCTTCATTTATTTCTCAATGGATTCCATATTTTTATGAATATAGCATCAAACAGTATTAGCATCTATGACATCTACTCTTCCAGTATGAACTGAACCTGAACTTGCCAATAATTAAAATTAATTGCCAAGTCCTTTTTTCCCCCTCACAGAGTTTATTAAACCATCTTTCCCCTCCTCAGGACTTAAATAGCTGCTTTTTTACTTAAAAGGGGGATTTTGCATTTATCTCCAGTAAATTTCATTACTCCTGTTATTCCAGTCTGCTAAGATCTTTGAGAATTTTGATTCTGACATCTCACACATTAGCCATTCCTCATAGCCTTGTATCCATTGCCAACCACCATCTGCTTTGTCCCTGAGTATTCACTTCCACAAGTCCATCTTGGCTGTCCAACTATGCCTTAGGAAGTAAACCATGGTCTCAGAAATCAGACAGATTTTAGAAAGAGTCCTGACCCCACTACTTAGCAAGTTATTAAATTTCTCTGAACCTCGGTTTCATCATTTGTCAAATGGACACATGAATATATACCAAAATGGTTGTTGTGAGGATAAAGTGAAACAATATACATGTAAGGGCAGTAACAGCATCGTTGGCACTTAGTACTCAGCATAATTATTATAATTATAATCTTAACTTCATTAAGAACCAAGGTGACGGGCTGGGGATGTGGCTCAAGCGGTAGCGCGCTCGCCTGGCATGCGTGCGGCCCGGGTTCGATCCTCAGCACCACATACAAACAAAGATGTTGTGTCCGCCGAAAACTAAAAAATAAAATATTAAAAATTCTCTCTCTCTCCTCTCTCACTCTCTCTTTAAAAAAAAAAAAGGACCAAGGTGACATCATATACTTCCTCTATAACTTTAAAAGACAATATTGCTGAGCATAGAGTATTTGTTCAACTAAGACTGTGTGAATATAGTTTGTTGAACTATATGTGGCCTTTTGGGAAATGACTTCAATCCCTTCAGGCAACTAGAAAAACTCTTTGCTACTATTCACAGAGACATTCTTTTGTTATTGTTGTTGTTATGCATCTAAATCTATGAAGAAACAGTACTGAATGTATTTATAGAACACAGCCTGTTGGGATAGTTTAAAGACCACTGCTCAATATTTGAAACACTCTGGCTCCAAAAATCACATAAAAATCAGCTACCTCAAATAGAATACATGTTTATTTGTTTGGGGTTTTTTTATTTTTATTTTTTTAGTTTTCGGTGCACACAACATCTTTGTTTGTATGTAGTGCTGAGGATCGAACCCACACGCATGCCAGGCGAGTGCGCTACCACTTGAGCCACATCCCCACCCCTAGAATACATGTTTTATTTTTACTATTTTTAATTTTTAAAAACACTTTTATTAAAAGATGAGGTCTCACAGCTTGGGAAGCTAAGACAGGAGGATTACGAGTTCAAAGCCAGCCTCAGCAATGGCAAGGCACTAAGCAACTCAGTGAGACCCTGTCTCTAAATAAAAGACAAAATAGGGCTGGGAATATGGTTCAATGATTGAGTTCCCCTGAGTTCAGTCCCCAATACCTCAAAAGAGAGAGAGAGAGAGAGAGAGAGAGAGAGAGATATGAGGTCTCAGCCAGGCACAGTGTTGTATGCCTGTAATCCCAGTGGCTCAGGAGGCAGAGGCAGGAGGACCATGAGTTCAAAGCCAACCTCAGCATCTTAGCAAGGCCCTAAGCAACTCAGCAAGAGTTGCTTAAAGAGTCTTAAAGAGTCTCTCTAAATAAAATATAAAAAGGTCTGGGGACAAGTCACCACTCCCAGCCTGCCTCAGCTTCAATAGAAACAGAAGAAAATACTGCCTGAGGGTGAGAACAAGGGGACATGGAGACAAAAAGAGGACAGGGGACTTCTGGCAATGCAATGGCTTTGGCCTCCTCATCACATCCTACAAGAAAGCTACTTCATTCTCCCCATTTCAGAGCACTGTTTACTCTGTCACCCTTTATTCTAAACCACTTAAATTTCATGCCAGCATTAGTGATGAATGTTATCACACACTAAACAAACCAAAGCATACAAACACCTCTGCTCCTCATAAATTCTTTATCTCTCTGCCAGGACATCCTGGAAGAATGAATTCAGCAATTCAGAGTTATTCTAGAAAAGCTAAGATGATATATATTTTGTTCCCAATAAATGCTGTCAGGACTCTCATTCAGTAAGGTAGCTGTTGGTTTCTTGCCAGTGCTGAGAAAGCTGACATCAAAATATCACCACAATCTTCACCTCCCCCATGCTGGGATACTCCCAAAAGACTGTCAAAGGAAAGACTTGAATACTTCCACATTATCTTTTAAGGACTCATGCTAAAGCAGTTGAATGTACACCAGAACCAAGAAAACTACTGTTGAAGGGCTGGGGTGGGCCCGGATGGGGGTGGGGGGGTTGATGATCCTGTCTAGATAAGAGCTATGTATTTCTAGCGAGTATAGACCTGAACACACAGTAGGATGCACTGCAAATTTGTCTGATTCAAATTCAACTGACATTTACTGAGTGCCAGGCATATATTTAAATTCCTTTGAGTCCAAGTGTTATCACACAGCTCCTAAAAGGCAGAGTGAAATTCAAATTTTGCCTCTGCCTTGCTTTTTCTACTTCATCACAATGGCCCCCAGGGAATTCAGAATTTGGAATTCAATCTATCCAACCAGGGCAGCAAAGGTAAACTTGGATGCCAGGGCAACACACATGCTCCTAAGGTACTAGCCAGGCAGTGAGTTGGTAAGCAACATGTGCTATTTTATTTACAGGAAAAGAATAAGAAATGAAATTATTTTAGTGTCTATATGTGTTGTCATGTACAATCAAATACAGTAAACGGAAAAGGAATTGGTTTAAATTATGGTATTCTTTCTTCTTCCATTTAATGCCACTCTATAATTATTTCTGAAGCTACACAATGTATTTTAGGATACAATTTATCTGAGAAGTGGAATATGAAACGCCACTGGACAGCAGCAAACACGACAGAAGGCTTCTTGGTTCCTACTGAGACCAATTATCAGTGCAGCATATTTTCTTCTCAGTGTGTGGGGAGTCACACATGTTCATTTTCAGAAACAAAGTGGAGACTGTGCTTTCACGTCTAGAGACTATGCATGCTTTTCTTAAGGACAAGGGAAGGCACATATGAAAAGGACTTTAAACAGATTTTGCTACCACTAAAAACAATTGGAAATAGAAACCTTTTCACTAAGGCAACAATAACAAATGCAAATATCATCTATGTTAAACCCTCATCCCAATTTTCTATCCAGAATTTATCCAGGTCACCATGTAGAATGACAACTGCCGAGGTATGAAAACCAGAAATAAAAGCTGTGCTGATTGAAAGGAAACTACAATAAAGAAAGATGCTGGGGCTAAGGGTGTAGTTCAGAGATAGAGCATGTGTCTAGCATGCACTAAGCCCTGAGTTCCATTCTCAGCATCCAAAAAAAAAAAAAGGAAAAGGAAAAGAAAGATGCTAACACAACAGTTACACTGCCTTTACAATGCCAGGATTCATGGGGCTAAGAGCAACTTTCCTTTTGTACAAAACATGAAGTAAGCAGATTGTTTCTGGAGATTGGAAAAGATGAAGGGTGCTTTGAAGTGCAAACAGCAACAAGTCCTTTAATTAAATCTATGCCTTAATATTAAAATCCTCTGACCAACAAATCTGCCAATCTGATATTGCTTATCAGATTGGCAAAATTTGAAAAGAATGTAAATAACCAATGTGGCAAGGCAGCATGAAAACTAGCATACTCATATATTTTGGGTGAAAATATACATTTTTAAAATATTTTTTAGTTTTAAGTGGACACAAGATCTTTATTTTACATTTATGTTGTGGCGGGATCGAACTCAGCGCCTCAATCATGCAAGGTGAGCACTCTACCACTGAGCCACAACCCCAGCCCCAAGAATATCCATTTTTTCAGTATCCAAAAGCAACTTAAAGTCTTATCAAAATAGTTTTTTCCATTTGTAAAAACAAATTTCAAAAATATATCAAATAGAGAATATTATGATAAACCTAATGCACTTGCCATTCTACTTCAATAATTATCAACTCATAGCCCATCTTTTTTTTAATTTACATATGGCAGCAGAATGCATTACAATTCTTATTACACATATAGAGCACAATTTTCCATATCTCTGGTTGTATACATAGTATATTCACACCAATTCGTGTCTTCATACATGTACTTTTGGATAATAATGATCATCACATTCCACCATCATTAATAACCCCATGCTCCCTCCCTTCCCCTCCAATCCCTCTCCCCTATCTAGAGTTCGTCTATTTCTCCCATGCTCCCACTCCCTATCCCACTATGAATTGGCCTCTTTATATCAAAGAAAACATTCGGCATTTGGTTTTTTGAGATTGGCTAACTTCACTTAGCATTTCTTCTCTAACCCATCCATTTACCTGCAAATGCCATGATTTTATTCTCTTTTATGGCTGAGTAATATTCCATTGTATATATATGCCACATTTTTTTATCCATTCATCTATTGAAGGGCATCTAGGTTGGCTCCACAGTTTAGTTATTGTGAATTGTTCTGCTATAAACATTCATGTGGCTGTGTCCCTGTAGTATGCTGTTTTTAAGTCCTTTGGGTATAGACCAAGGAGAGTGATAGCTGGGTCATATGGTGGTTCCATTCCCAATTTTCCAAGAAATCTCCATCCTGCTTTCCATATTGGCTGCACCAATTTGCAGTTCCACCAGCAGTGTATGAGTGTACCTTTTTCCCCACATCCTCACCAACACTTATTGTTATTTGTATGAATAGCTGCCATTCTGACTGGAGTGAGATGAGTGGTTTTGATTTGCATTTATCTAATTGCTAGCGATGATGAACATTTTTTCATGCATTTGTTGACTGATTGTACATCATCTTCTGAGAAGTGTCATAGCCCATCTTACATCTAACTAATCTCCTACACTTTCTTCCTCTCTAGATTATTTTGAAGCAAACCTGATGTTATACATTTTCATTTGTAAATAGTTTAACATATATCTACAAAATTATTTTATATTTCATATATTATATCTAAAAAAAATTGTCTTAGTATTATCAATATCCAGTTAGTAATACTATTTCCCCAATTGTCTCATAAATATTTTTACCTTCAGTTTGTTCAAATCAGTTTCCAAACAAGGACCATATATTGCGTCTAAGTAATAATGTTCCTGAAGTCTCTTAATCTGTTAGCTCTCTTACCTCCTCTTTTTGCTTGTGTTTTATTTGTAGGGAAAAAAAGTCAAAGGACTAAGGGGGTAGCTTAGTGACAGAGCACTTCTTTAACATATATTAAGCACTGAGTTCCATCCCCAGCAAAAGAACAAATGAATAAATAAGCCAGACCATTTATTCTAGAGTTTCCCACAGGTTAGATTTTGCTAATTACAATCTTGTGTGTCTTTTTAACTTCATTAGTGAACCATACTTCCTATAATCTGGCAGCTGAATCTAGAGACTCAATCAGATTCAGGTTTGATTTTGGGGGGATGAATACTTCACACATGGTATACAGTAATGTCAGAAGTACCCAACACCAGGAGGCATGTAATGAATGGTTTTCTCTCTTCTAGCAATACTAAGAAGGGTCAGAGGTTTAAGTTGCTATTATTCTGATTTATTACAAAATTCCTCTCTAAAACCAACTTTTCTTAGTGGTTTTAGTATGCTGTTGCTAATCATTGCCTAGATTCATATGTCATTAGGGAATACAAATGGTGCTATGTTTATTAGTTGGAATGCTTCTATAAAGAAATTTCCACCATGGGCTGGGGTTGTGGCTTAGCGGTAGAGCGCTTGCTTAGCACGTGTGAGGCCCTGGGTTCGATCCTCAGCACCACATAAAAATAAATAAAGGTATTGTGTCCAACTACAACTAAAAAATAAATATTAAGAAGGAAAAAAGAATTTCCACCAGTGAAACTACACATCATGTAAAACCACAAGAATGGGATCCTAATTAGAATAAGTTATACTCCATGTACATAAAATATGTCAAAATATACTCTACTGTCATGTATATCTGAAAAGAACAAATAAAAGAGAAAGAGAAAGAGGCGGGGGAGGGAGGAAGGGAGGAAGAGAAGAAGGAAGGAAGGAAGGAATGAAGGAACAAAGGAAGGAAGGAAGGAAGGAAGGAACGAACGAACGAAGGAAGGTCCTTCATGAAGTAACTGGTTACTTGAATACTTCCAGAGAGAAAGTACTTCATTCCCTTCATTTACCAGTTTTCAGGATAATGTGGTGGTCCCTAGCATCATGAAAAAAGTGACCAATGAGTTATTTCTTTCAATATCAAAATGAATATGCAGACTATAAGTATATTTAAGTACTTTTAATCGATTATAGATATTAGCCTTTCTGACAGATCAATTGTCCTATTTTGGCCCCTGCATATTACATCTTAAGTGGCTTCCGTAGGACACCAGAAGTTTTTAACAACTCCTTTGCATTCTGAGAAGATGAGATGCTCCAAATTCATCTTGTATATTCCTTCCCCTAGTTTTGAAATCTGACATTTCTTCAAGAAGCTCTAATTCCCTTTACTGGAGATCTGTACTTAGAGACCACACTGAGGGGTGTTAGGGATGCTCGGTAATACGAGACTGATCCTTATGTCTCTACACCTCTGCAGTGACCAGAACTACAGAACATTTTTTGCAGTGCTGGGGATCAAATCCAGGTCTCATACATGCAATGCATATGCTCTCCCACTGAGCTACACCCCAGTCCTGATAACATGTTTTTGTTTTTTTTAGAAGAGAAAATATATCTTGAGTTCGTATTGATATTCCAATTCAAATTTGGGATTCTAGGCCTTTATTTGATTTTTATTCCTGTATTTTTATGCACTTTCAAACAAAACCTTGGTTCTTATTTCTTTTTATTTTCAATGCTGAGGATCCAAACCAGAGCCGTGTATATGCTAAGCAAGCACTCTATCACTGAGCTACACCCCCTAGCCCAAACTTGGTTCTTAAATAACTTAAAATGTGAATATCTTTTGTCTCTACCATTCCTCCTTGGGAGACTTAGCCAAAGGAAATAATCTAATATGACATCCATGATAGTGTTCTTTACAGTATTAAAAAAGAAGAGAAAATCAAGAAGAATTTCAGTTTTTCAGAAGCCAGAATGAGGAAGGCTATCACCAAATTGAAATATAATTTAAGCTAATAGTTCTTCAGTATTTAAAAATAGAACAAGTACAAAAACATTTCCAAAAAAAAAAAAAGACACATTAAAAACTCATCATTAGCAGGGGGCAAGGTGGTGCATCTCTGTAATCCCAGTTTTTGGAAAAGCTGAGGCAGGAAGTATGCAAGTTGAAATCCAACTTTGGCAATGTAGTGAGACCCTGTCTATAAATAAAAAGGGTAGGGGATATAGCTCAATGGCAATGCACTTGCCCAGCATGTGTTAGACCCTGGGTTCAATCCCTAGTACGAAAAGAAAAAAGTTTCATGATTATTCTTTGGAGCATGAACCAATGTACTGCTTATATCCTTTTTTGGTTTTTAGAGATGGGGGTTTCACTATGTTGCCCAGACTGATCTCAAACTATTGGGCTCAAGTGATTCTGCCTCTCCAGTATATGTTTTTGTGTTGTTTTTTGTTTTTTTTTTTAAAAAAAACTTCTCTGACAAATCACTTTTTATTATCAGCCATTCTAATATTTACTGACTGGAGTGTGTTAGTATTATGTTACGTTTTGCTTTGTTTCCATGAAAAGAAGCTCTCAGAGAATGTTCTTAGTATTTAAGAAAAAAATATTCAGAAATAGCACCAGGCAGAGGATTAGAGGAAAATTCCAGGGAACTGACAGCCACAGTATTATCCACAAACAACAAAAACGTAAGTCATTACCTGCTGAGCTGTAGTATCCTGTTGGACATAAGCTACCTGGCCTGGGTCTGTAAACAGAGTCTAGACCAAAAAATAAAAGAAAAAAAATTATCAATAGATCTTTAGACATTTGCCTACACAGGAAAAATCATACTACTGCTAAGCACCAATGCTTAGGAGAGTTATCTACCATCATAGCTGATAATTCTTCATTAATAAAGAAGATATAGATAGCAATCTTACATTTGGCTAAAGAAAGCTTTTCATTCAGATGGCTCCAATGAGATGGTATGTCTAACGATCTCACATGGCTAACATGTTTCACTATTTTACTTTTAACCAAAGCCTATCTTGAGGTTGAATGTCATACCTAATTAAAATGGTATGTCATGAAAATATACAAGACATGTAAGAACAAGGTTATATATATATATATATATATATATATATATATATATATATATATATATACATCATTCACTGGAACAGATTTGTGATTCAAAGAAAATGGAAGGAGATATATAGACACAGAGAAGATTATCATAAAAACAGGGTTTTCAATGCTATCAAATACAAACTCATGTTTATTATCAGAAGAGAAGTAGAAGTAATATAAATTGAACTTAATGTCCCATAGGTTTGGAAAAAGCCAGTAAAGTCACAATACAAGTTAAGAAAAAGTGATCACAATTAGTGGGGTCATACTGCAGCAAAGTAAGAAAGAAAATCTTCAAGACTATATCATAGCCAAGGCACCATGGTTAACATCCTGACCCCAAAAAATATGCTCTCTTCTAAAGCTTTTAAAAGATTTTAATTTGCCCAAGATTTTAACAAACTTACGGGAATAAGAACTATGATTAAATCTTTTTTAAATTTTTTTTTTTAGTTGTAGATGGACACAATACCTTTATTTATGTATTTTTATGGGGTGCTGAAGATCAAACCAAGTGCTTCACATGTGCTAGGCAAGCATTCTACCACTGAGCCACAACTCCAGCATCCTATGGTTAAATTTTAATTCCAGAGAAATGTAAAGAACGGTTTCAGGCAGGATCAGATTTCTCATATTTGACTTTTTTAAATTATCAAAATTTAGATGTTAGGGGCTAGGGTTGTGGTTTAGTGGTAGAGCGCTTGCCTAGCACGTACAAGGCCCTGGGTTCAATCCTCAGCACAGCATAAAAATAAATAAATAAAATTAAAGGTATTGTGTCCAATTACAACTAAAAAAATAAATATTTTTTAAAAACTTTAGATGTTTAGTAACATCATAATAAACTATAGTTGGGCACAGGACATTCTTTTCATAAATTATGTGGTCTTATTTTAATAGAGTTAGAGGACTAAACCTAAGCAGAGGAATTCCAAAAGTACCATCAAAGTATTTGGCAATTTCATCATTATACAGATTAGAAAAGTATTAACTAGGTGAGCCTCATATCTTCTTGCGAGTGATTGGAAGTCTCTTGATTAAATATTGTATGAGGGGCAAATTTTATTATCAGGATCCTACCACAAAGTATATAATTTGTTTTTTAAAAACATGTGTTTGGCAATTGGGAATAGGCTCATGGTAAAGCATGTGCTTAGCAAGCACAAGGCCCTAGGTTCAACATTAACCCATAAAAACATGTTTAAAGGTACTTTACACGTTGTAAAGTATGAACAATAGAAAATAACATTTGTAAACTAGGGTTGTATCTTTGGGAAGTTCAAGCCACTGGGAAAAAAATTAAAGTAGTTAAAATTGTACAGCTTTTACCAGTAAACACAATGGCTTCTGTTATAGACTAAGAATCAGTAGGTTATTAATAAAGGGTATTTAATAAGCTATTAGAACTTTTTGCTTATACATTTAACTGAAATAAACAATACATTTTCACTGAACCATCTATGATTAAGCTATATAGAACTAAATGCCTGGTTACTGATACTCAAAAAAAGTAACAAATTCACAATCTAGTCACTAGAGAGAAGAACTGATATAAAACTAGTGCTCTAAATACTTATTAGCCTTAATTTAAATTAAATGAACGATCTCTTCCTCTGATGAGTTGGTTATGAGCTCCTTGAGAACATAAATCTTATCTGAACATTACCTGCTTCACCAGTACCTAGCATAATGACTGGCATAGAATAAATATAAGTAATTGCTGAATTAATTAATTAATTAACAAATTAAAAAACACTAATTCTTCACATGCCTGTGCAGCTTCCACAGGATGGATGTATACCAGTGTGTGCTCGGGACCATCCACTGAAGTGTAGGAGGCACCATCTGCCGTGTACACCACCTGCTGGGGTGGACGGACCTGGTCATCAGTGTAGACAATCTGAGCCACAGTTCCAGCATCTGGAACAAAGTGCACCTGGTGCAAAAAAAACAGACAAGTTATAGCAATTATTCTTGTAAAAAGAAATCAATCTCACAAAGGTACATAGCCAACCAAGCACATTTGCACTCCTAAAATATCCCCAATGAAAGAAGAATGAGAATTTAGGCAGTTCCATCTAAGAGACTAGGAGACAGAGTGTAAGAACTGTGTCATAGATTTATCACTTAATGTGAGAGAATGACTTAAATTCCTCTGCCTCAAATGTCCAATGCAGATAACTCCTTTGGGAAGTCATAGGTGGTAGGGGGTTAATTGATCCTGGAAAAGTGACTGCAGATTCCTCTTTGACAACACCAAAAAAAATATAAAATACAAATTATTCTGCAATGTGAACAAATATGTCAAGACCTCAAAAGCCAATTGCTCTCAGCATATCACAAAAAAAATCTATTTTATAACAGTTCCTTTAAGTTAGTTATTAAAATAAGGCCATATTAGGAGCTGGAGTTGTGACTCAGTGGTACAGCACTCACCTAGCACATGCGAGGCACTGGGTTCGATCCTTAGCATTACATAAAAGATAAATAAGTAAAATAAAGGTATAATGTCCAATTACAACTAAAAAAAAATTTTTTAAATAAGTCCATATTCTTTCCTATAAGTTCTTTCACACTAAAAGAACATACTGGAGGCATATCAGGAAATGTCAGCAGAATCAATAAATGAATAACAAAACTCTTCTTTGCCAGCGAGGTAAACACACAGAAAATCCTTATAAAAAACTTTTAAGGGGTTCTAGACAAATATTTAGTTGTCATCAGGGTAAACAATTTTCTATCTTCCAAAACCTAAAGAACTAAAAGCAAAAACTTGAGTTTTATAAAATACTTTCTGAATGGTCAGCATGTAGGACTGCATTTATGAGGGCTACAGCTTGGAATGTGGCCTAATTGCCCAAGACTGAAGGTCTAGAAACAGATGCTTGAAGTACACATTTAGGAGAGAGATCATTTATGTACTGATGTGGAAATCACGCTTTCAGGTTAGGACCCTTACCGTTCCACTGCCTTGGCAGTGGACCTAACATTTTTGTCAGTTTTCTCCAGTGGGGAAATAGATTCCAAAGCGGATATAAACTAACTTAATCCCCAGAAAGAAACCCAGAAGCCAAATGTAAATTAAACATCACAGAAATACAGCAAACTTCCACTTCTATACTAAATGATTAGTCTGTCTTCTATGTAAATTTGATTTATCCATGAAGATAAAGTTTATACAGATTTGTTCATTAACAAAGCTTTGAACTAGGTCCAGTGCTTAAAGAAGGAAAAAACATTTCCCAAAAAGATGAGCCATCTAAGATATAAACTTTTCTGCTTGGTCTTCCTCACTCAGATTCTGCCAATCAGAATTTGAAAAAAAAAACACCAGAATCAGATTTCCTAGCCAAGAGCATGAATGACTAGGAAAAAATATATATAAGGGGCCAGGCGAGGTGGCCCTCAGCTTGGAAGGCTGAGGCAGGAGGATCATGAGTTCAAAGCCAGCCTCAGCAACTTATTGAGGCCCTAAGCAACTCAGTAAGCCCCTATCTCTAAATAAAATTAAAAAAAAGGGCTGGGGATGTGGCTCAGTAGTGGAGTGCCCCTGAGTTCAATCCCCAGTACAAAAGAGAGAGAGAGAGAGAGAGAGAGAGAGAGAGAGAATATAATGGAGGATTCCTGGCCTTAGCTATCTGTTATTTGGTTATCCAGAGGTAGGGACTCTGGTTATATACCACATCACAACCATATTCACCTTTGTTTTGCTTTTTGATAAGCAAAATATATGAGAACACTATGAAACTGTCTCTCTTTTTTTCTTTTTTTTGTACTGGGGTTTGAACCCAGGGTGCTTTACCCTGAGTTATGAGCCACACCCTCAGTCTTTTTCATTTTTCATTTTGAAACAGGTTCTTGCTAAGTTGCTGATGCTGGGCTTGAACTTGTGACCTTCCTGCCTCAGCCTCCTAAGTCTTAGGATTGCAGGCATGTGCCACTGCACCCAGCTACAACTGCTGTTTTTTAAGTTTTCAGACTGAGACTTTTAATTCATAGCAGATGATCAGTTTTACATATTATAATATAAATGATATTGCTTAAATTAAATAAGACTTACCTATTTGAATGTTTCAATGTTGACTTCCTGATTTTTATGATAGTACTGTAGTTATGTGACTGAATAAAAATTTGAACAAAAACTTCACATTTATCCTAATGAATAAAAATTAAGTTTTATACTTTGGTCACAAATAAAACATGGCTCCCTAGTACTGCTGACCCATTCCAAATTCAAATCCACACCAAAAAAAAAAAAAAAAAAAAATGCAGAGATGTGCCTCTACCAAGAAGTCAAAAGAACATGCAGGTGAATCCAGGTGGTTGTGGCACGAGCCTATAGTCCCAGACACTCAGGAGGTTAAGGCACACAGATTGCTGAGCTCAGGAGTTTGAGATCAGCTTGAGCAACATATGAGTCCCCTTTGCAAAGAAAAAGAAAATGCAGCTGGTTCCACCAGCAAGTCAAAAGGTAGAGATCAGCCAGGCAGCAACTCAGGAAGTAGCTGAGGCAGGAGAGCACACTGGAGGCCAGCCTCAGGCAATCTCACAAGACCCTGTCTCAAAATAAAATAAAAGTCTAGGGATTGAGGCTGGAGTTGTGGTTCAATAGTAGAGCACTTGCCTAGCATGTGTGAGGTACTGGGTTCAATTCTCAGCACCACATACAAATAAATGAATAAAATAAAGGTCCATCAACATCTAAAAATGTTTTTTTTAAAAAAAACATTTAAAAAGGCTGGGGATATAGCTCAGTGGTAGAGTGCCCCTGGGATAAAGAAAGAAAGAGAGGTGGGGGGGGGGGAGAGGGAGAGAGGGAAAGAGGGAGCGAGGGAGAGAGGGAGAGAGGGAGAGGGAGAGAGAGAGAGAGAGAGAGAGAGAGAGAGAGAGAGAGAGAGAGAGAGAGAGAGGGAGAGGGGGAGAGAGAGAGGGAGAGAGAAAGCTAACAGAAAAGAAAAAGCCAGAGATTATCAATGACAATAGTATTTGAATAAATGACTAACCAAAATTTGTGACTCATAATGGGACAATTTGCATTTAGAAGTTTACATTTTAAATTTAAAAGAAAAGGCCACTCACTTTATAAACATACATTGTTATCTTATAACTCACATAGAATCGAAACCTTATACTGAATGGCATAATAGAAACAACAGTTTGAGGCTTTCAACACCAAAAATGAAAAATAAAGTAGGGTCTAAAAACTGAAACTAAGTTGCAAATAAGGCAGAGAAGCCTGGGGCAGGGAACCAAGACTGTGGGGGAGTGGATATGGGTTTTTCTAAATCACAGTGAAACATGGCAATGGAGCATTCAGAGTGCTATGCACAAGTTCTTCCTGTCAACTCCCTCCCAACTACTCATTACTATAGAGTAGCTATTATTTCTTTAGCTATCAGCAAACTGAACCCAACAAAAACACTGCTATCCTTAGCCAGCTGGAAGAGAACACCCTTCACCTGTGCGGCATTCTGTTCATGCTCTGCAGACGTCGGCCACACGTGTGAGCTTTCATCTTTGGAATCCATACTTTCCTGCTGGACAGCTCCAAGTCTGGGCCACCTACAGCAGCACAGGGCAGAGGACAATCATCTGTCCAGCATCTGTGCGCTCAGGAAGGACAGAAAGGTCTCTCTGCAGTGTGTCTGGGAAGAGACAATGTATTTTAATTAATTACTTTTTATCAAAGAAGGGGGAGAAAAAGCTTTGTTAAAAGGCAACACACCGGGCTCCGGTTGTAGCTCAGTAGTAGAGTGCTTGCCTAGCATGTATGAGGCACTGGGTTCGATTCTCAACACCAAATATAAATAAATATAATAAAATTAAATAAAGGTCCATCAACATCTTTAAAAAAATAATAAAAAAAAAAAGGCAACACACCTATAATTCCAGTGGCTCAGGAGTCTGAGACAGGGTGATTGCGAGTGTAAAGCCAGCCTCAGCAACTGCGAGGCACTAAGCAACTCAGTGAGACCCTGTCTCAAAACAACCTACAAAATAGTGGATGAAGCTCAGTGGTCAAGTGTCCCTAAGTTCTAATTCCCGATACCCCACCAAAAAAAAAAAAAAAAAAAAAAGACAATACACCTGAGCAAATGAAGAAATCATTTAGAATAATAATACAATGTATCGTGTGTTTGGTGTGTTCTAGGCACTCGTCAGGAAGAGTGTAAATGTATATACACTGTATATATACTGTAACCATCATTAAAAATGCTGAAGGTAATTTTAGTTATCTTGAGAACAGTTTTCCAGACATTAAACACAGGCAAATTATAAGTTCATAACCTAATCTGATCACTGTGTAGCCCAAGCTTTTTTCTGGTAGACACTACCTGCCTATACCATCTCTCCTTAATATGAATAGAATAATAATAGCAGACATAAAAGAAGGGGGAAAATGACAGGTATAGAGAACTAGACTTTCTGGGTCACAATTTGTGAGTGAAAATATAAATTTTGTTTCCCATTTGGTCAGTACAGGAATGATCAATGACCAAATCAAGTTTTACTAAGCATCAATATGCATAAAATCTACATCTTAAAGTCTTATTCCTTTCCAAATAGACTTTTAAAGCAATAATCTTCCTATTTAACAATAAGTCATTGACATTTTAGATATCACATGAGAAATGCTGTGTTAACATGGCAGCAGCCAACCTGATAGTTCTTCCCAATCTCCCAGTAAAGTAGCAGACGTAGACAGGAAAAAGTAAGATGATCAGAACACCAATAAAGTCAGATAAGAAAGACTATGAGCCAATTGCCAGTCAGAATGTTCTCCATTATTAATTGCACATTTTTAGACCACACATCCTCTAATCTCTGAACCAAAATATATCCCAAAAAAGAAAGATACTAGAACACCCTATGTCTGTGCCTAGCTCTGGAATACAGGAACTGCTGTGTCCAAATTGCATGGGAACCATCTTCTGAGTCACTCAGGAGCCTGTTCCTGCCATCCTCACCCCTCCTACACCATCCCCCACACTCACTCACCTGGCATACACCTTACTCTTCCTTTCCCCATTCAAAGAGTACTTAACACCCATGTCCACCAAAAACTGAATGTATAAACAAAGGGGCATGAAAGAACTTTCTGGAGAAATGGGAATATCTTTTATCTTGAATCTGGATTGGAGTGATGGTTACATAGAGAATATATGTATCAAAAGTCATCAATTAGGGCTGTGGCTGTAGCTCAGTATAGAGCACTTGCCTAGCATGTGTGAGGCACTAAGTTCAATCCTCAGCACCACATAAAAATAAATAAATAAAATAGAGGTATTGTGTCCATCTGTAACTTAAAAAAAAAAAAAATTTAAAATCAACTAGGCCAGGCATGATGGGGTATGTCTGTAATCACAGCAGTTCAGGAAGCTGAGGCAGGAGGATCAAATAGGTCAAGGTCACCCTCAGCAGACCCTGTCTTTAAAACAATATAAAAATAGGCTGGGGAAATGGCTCAGTGGTTAAGTTCCTATGGGTTCAATCCCCCATAAAAAAAAAAAAAAAGTTATCAACTAGCCAGGTTTAGTAGTGTACATCTATAATCTGAGCAACTCATAAACCTTGAGGTAGGATTACAAATTTAAGGTCAGCCTGGGCAACTTAGTGAGATTCTGTCTCAAAATAAAAATAAAAAAGAGTGGGGATGTAGCTCAGTTTCAGACTGTTAGCTTAGCATATATGAGGCCCTGGTTTTTTGTTGTTTTGTTTGTTTGTTTTGTGGTGCTGCAGATTGAACTCGAGACAATGGTTTTAATCCCCAGTACTGACAGAAAAGAAAGAAAAAAAGTCATCAACCTCTTCAATCAAAATATGTGAATTTTATCATATGTAAATTATACCCTTATAAAGTTGATTTTTAGAAAAATGCCTCCCTTATATAGTGGCACTATTTAAAATCTATGTAAAAAGATCTTCAGGATGAATTGCACATGGTATGTAATTAGACCTCGACAAAGTTGTTATTTAAAAAAACAAAAATATTAAGAAACCTACGGAAAAAAAATGTCACCAGTAATATAAATATCTATAAAAAGAGCCAATCATGGTGTTACACACCTGAAATCCCAGCTACTCGAGAGGCTGAGGCAGGAGGATACCAAGTTCAAGAGTGAGATGTAGCTCAGTGATGGGGTGTCTCCAAGTGCAAAAGCCTGGATACAATCCCTAGTACTACAAAAGAAAAAAAAAGTTTTTATTTTGAAATAATTTCAGACAGAAAAGTTACAAAACTAGTACAAAGAATTATTGTATTTTTCAAATACTAACATTTTACCATGTTTGCTTTATTATTATTCTTTCTCTTTTTTTCCCCTACCTGAACCATTTGAGAGTAAATTGCAGACCCAATGACCTTGTACCCCTAAATTCTTAAGTGCCTCACTCCTAAAAACAAAAACATTTTCTTATAATTCCAGTAATATCATCAAAATCCAGAAGTTAACATTAAATTTGATCAGCTCAATTATCTAATTTATAGACCTTATTCAAATATAGTCAACTGTATAATTAATGTCCTTTATAGCCAAAGAAATATTTTTCCTTCTGGCCCCAATCCAATCTGGCATCCTACACAGTGTATTCAATTGTCATGTTCCTTCAGTCTCCCTCAATCCAATAGTCTTCTGCTCTCTTAAGTCATTTATGACCTTGACATTTTTTAAATGCACAGGCCATTTATCTTTCAGAATGTACTTCAATTTCAGTTTGTCTGATGTTTCTTCATGGTTAGATTTAGGATGCATATTTTTAGCAGGAATAACACAAAAGAGATGAGTCCTTCCAATAAGGGAATTTGCGATTTTCTTTTTTTTCAACTTGGTTCCTTGACTGCACAAATACTGAGTGCACACTAAGCTAGGCACAAAGCAACTGTGAGAATCAGGCAGGCATAGCCTATGACCTCACAAAATACATAGCCCAGATAGAGTGTCTTACTGCCTTCATTTTCTCCAATCACAAAGAGAAACACACTATTAGGGCTCCAGTGTAGCTCAGTAGTAGAGCTCATGTTTTAAGTGCAGGAGGTCCTGGGTTCAATCCCCAACACCAAAAGAAAGAAACATAGCTACTGATTCCTTATAAAGTCCCTTTTCTTTTATACCTTGTTCATTCCATATAACATCATGCTTTTTATATCACTGCACATCTGTATATACTTTCCTCATTATTTGTTATAGCTGCACAATTTCATTGTATGAATATATCATGATTTTTTTAACTAATTTTGTATTGAAAAACATTTAGGTTCTTTCTAATCTCTTGCTATTACCTGCAATACCATGATGAGTAACTTTTAATATACATTGTTTTACCTGTGTTGCACTGTATGTGTTAGTATACTGTGTCCTTTTGGAAACTTTTTTCTTTGGGGGTGGGGGATCTACCATGGAGCTACATCCCCAAACACTTTTATTTTTTGAGACAAGGTCTTACTAAGTTGCTTAGGGCCTCTCTATATTCTTTTTTTTTTTTTTTTTTTTTTTTTAAATATTTATTTATTTATTTTAATTCTCGGCGGACACAACATCTTTGTTTGTATGTGGTGCTGAGGATCGAACCCGGGCCGCACGCATGCCAGGCGAGCGCGCTACCGCTTGAGCCACACCCCCAGCCCCGCCTCTCTATATTCTTAAGGCTGGCCTTGAACTTATGATCCTCCTGTCTCAGCCTCCTGAGTTGCTGGGATTACAGCTATGTGCCACCATTCTCAGCTCCTTTTGTAATCTCAAAGGGAAGATACTGAAGCAGTTAAAGTGGTTGTATGAAAATTGAAGTCATTATTAGTTTCCAAATGCCTACGCTGGCACTATTCTTTGAATAGTGCTTGAGACCACCTGAGACACAGAACAAGTGCACTGATGCATGTAGGGGCAAGAGGCAGAGTGGGGAAGGACAGATCTGGATTTGGGTAGCTGTTCTGAGGCTTAACTGACCTTGGTTGGGGTAGAGCGCAGAAGTCTTCTATATTTCTCTTCCTTCTCTGTAAAATAAGGATCATAAGATTATTAAGAGAATGACACAAAATAATGAACACAAAGTGCATAACACAATGCTTGCTACATAGTAATCAGTTTTTGAAAGTTATACAATCATGTTGCATTTTCTTATCTACTTGTCTGCCTCCTCTATATTTCTTAAGGTCAAGGAGTTATGTTTTGTTAACTCCTGGCTTGTGATAGACCTAGATGATTTTGTTGAGTGATTTAAAGATATCATAATGTGCAGTGGGAACACAGGAAAGGATATCTACTCCAAATAGGGGTGATCAGAGATGACTTCTTGGAATAGGTGAGTAGGAGGAAAAGAGCAGGAACATAAAGGATAGGACAACTATTCCAGACTGAAGGATCTCTTCTAATCTTACCAGTATAAGGAAATAATACATGACATAAAATACTGGCGAACTAGGCAAAGATTTTGAAGGGGGTGGTAGGGAATAACTACTTAGCAGATAGGATCAAAAAAAAAAAAAGTGGGGGGGACAATTAATATATTACCAAGGAAAACATACCAATAAAATTTAATAATGTGAATTACTGCCCATAATGGCCCCTCCCAATAAATTTTAAATACTGCTAGCAAATAAAGCCCAGTGTGATTGATATAAAACACATATTTGGTCTTTGTCTCCTTTACCTGATATACAAGTCCTAAAATTCTTGGATCTTCAAAGGGATAAGTATCTTTGACATGACATGATCAATGGCTTCAGATGAAAACTGGTCACCAGAAAGACCAAGGCAGGATTAGAGGGTTAGGACTTTTAGCCTGGACCCCCAATCCGGGGTTAGGAATGGAGGAAAGGGGAGGTATAGAGGGGAGGGGGGGCTGAAAAGGTTAACCTGATCACTAAAGGCCAGTGATTCAATCAAGCATGCTATGCAGTGACCTTGGTTGGGGTAGAAGCCTCCCAAAAAACCCTAAAAGACAGAGTTTTGGAAAATTTCAGATAGCTAAGATCACAGAGGTTCCTGGAAGATGGAACACCCAGAAAGTGTCTGTCTCCCCTACTTGCCCTATGCATCTTTTCATTTGGTATTCATTAATATCCTTTGTGATGTGCCAGTAAATGTAACTAAAGGTTTCCCTGAGTTCTATGAACCACTCTAATAAATTAATTGATCTGAGAAGGGGGATGGGAACCCAGATTTATACAGGTCAGTCAGAAGCACATGGAAAACAACCTGGAGCCTTTGACTGGCATCTGAAGGGGGGGTAGTCTTGGGGGCTGAGTCTTCAACCTGGAAGACATGAGCTATCTCCAGACAAATACGGTCACAGCTGAAATGGATTAGAGAATACCCCACTGGTGCAGAATTGATTGCTTGCTTGATAGAAGGTTGGGAGCCCCTACACAAGTGGCCAGAGAAGTTTTCTATGCTGATTGTTCAGTGAGAGTATACGAGGAAAGTTGTTTTTCTTTTTTTATTTTCCCAAGATGGTGAAAACACTTTAATTAAAAAACTGTCTGGGGTGTCACTCAGTGGTAGAATGTTTGCCTAACATGCATGATGCCCTGGGTTCCAACACCAGCATACAATAAAAAAGTGTCTGGAATCCAATGTAGTGACACCAGATATCCAGTTAGTAGTTCTTGTTCTTTAAGATATGGCTATAAGACACATGGAGTTTCTATAACTACTAAACTATTTGAAACACCAGTATAATGTTCTGCCATTATGTATTATTTAATACATTTTTCAAAAAACAACTCTAGGCATGACTCCACTAACCAAGTAAATCACCTTAAATCCTCTGGACATTTGCAAAACAAGAGCATAAATGGTTTCTAAAGTCTACTCTAGGGTCTGGGGATGTAGCTCAATGGTAGAGTACTTGCCTAGCATTTGCAAGTCCCTGAATTCAATGCCCAGTATTGCAAAAAACAAAAACCAAAACCGGTTTATCAGTGGGCTGGGGTTGTGGCTCAGTGGTAGAGCACTTGCCTAGCATGTGTGAGGCACTGGGTTCAATTCTCAGCACCACATAAAAATAAATAAATAAAGGCTCATCCACAACTATATATAAATAAATAAATATATATATATATATATATATATATATATATATATATATATATATATATATATATATATATAACATTTTTAGAAAACAGTTTATCACATCTCACATTGGTCAAATCTCTGAAACTCAACATCATCATATGTAAAATGGAGATAATAATTCCTAAAGTAATTCTAGGCACAGGTCTAGCACATCATGGATTCTCAAATGTATCAACTTTCAAAATTTGTAGATAAACTATACAGTCCTTCTGTATTTTCAAAACATAGTCTTTTAAAAACTAACAATTCTTAGTCCATCCCTATATAAGAACTTCTTTTGTAATGAGTCTGTATATAAGACTTGTCATGTTTATTTTCCTTTTTTTATTTATTTTTATTATATTATTTGCTTGTTTATTTATTTATTTTTTCAGAGCTGGGTATTGATCCCAGGGCCTCAGGCATACAAGGAAAGTGCTCTACCACTGAACCCATATTTATTTTATTTTTAGCTGCACAATTTATAGAGCTCATTGATGATTTATAGGAAACACAGGAAGAACCCCAGGAGCCATGTTAGCGCTGTCCAGCAGGCAGGTACTGATGGGCATGAACTTCCTTCTACTCTTCCATTTTATTTATCTCCTACAGATCTGAGAGAACAGGAGAACCACACCTACACCTTGTCTAAAAGGAGGCATCATTTTCTCTCCTTTCCCCATTGTCCAAAAAGAGAGACTTCAACTAGATGTGGTAGCACATGCTTTTAGTCCCCCGGGGGTTAAAGAGGCTGAGGCAGGAGGATCACAAGTTCAAAGTCAGTCTCAAAAACTTAACAAGACCCTATCTCAAAATTAAAAATAAAAGGGTTGGAAATGTTGCTCAGTGGTTAGGCACCGCTGAGTTCAAACCCTAGTACAAAAAAAGAGAGCAAAAAAGAGAGAGTTAATGGCTTCATTCCCAGGAAGAAGACAAGCTTCAAGCTTGCATTTCTACCTCCTAATGATCAACTTTACTCAACAATATTTATTAAGTACTTTGTATGTGCCAATCATTGTTCTCAGTCTGTAAAAAACACCAATGTAAGGGCTGGGAGTGTAGCGCAATGAGTTCAAGCCCCACAAAAACAAAAACATCAGTATATCAAAAAAGGAAAAGGAAAAGGAAAAGGGAAGGGAAGGGAAGGGAAGGGAAGGAGGGAGGAAGGAAAGAAGGAAGGGAGGAAGGAAAGGGGGGACAGTGGGGGAGGAAGGGAGAAAAAAAGAAGAAGAAGAAAAAAAAAAAAAAAACAAGTGCAGGGCACATGCCTGTAGTCTCAGCTACTTGGAAAGCTAAGGCAAGAGAATCACTTGAGCCCAGGAGTTCGATGCCTGCATGGGCAATACAGCAAGTTCTTATCTCAAAAGAAAAAACTCTACCCTCCTAAAACTTTACTGTTTTTTGAACATGTTGTATAGCATAGAATGTGAGCTTTAGAATCAGACAAATCTGAAGACTAAGCCCTCAAATCTACCAACTACTTGATAGATGAGATCTTAGTAGTCACACGCTCTGATCTTTTATATCTTCTTTGGAAAATTCAAATTATCAGCCCTGCATGGTTACTGTAAGAATTACAGATTTGTAAAATTAACAGTCTATACATATTTCATCAAATCTATGATGCACTTTCCCCCACATTTTAACATTGTTGAAATAGGAAACTATTTCACATTCAATGGTATGGCGCAGTCACTATCATCCAGATGCAATCAGGAAGTAGGGTCACTGCTGGACCATTAGTGGCCTCCTTGTTCATTGTAATTCATTATGAGTCTGGCCTCACTTCAACTGAGTCAGGTATATTGTTGATAATGGACACAATGAATCGTAAGTACTTTTTTTTTTTTTTTTAACTTTTTTGTTTGTTTTCGGCAGTACTGGGGATTAAACCCAGGTACTCATGTACAACTGAGCTACATATCCAGTTCACTATCTTTTTTTTTTTTTTTTTTGAGACAGGGTCTCGCTAAATTGCCCAGCTAGGCATTGAACTTGTGATCATCCTGCCTCAGACTCGCAAATGACTGGGATTATAGGCAAGCGCCACCATGCTTAGCTCTAACTGCCATTTTAAATGTTCTCAAAAAGATCACACTATAACTTGATATTGAAACTGGAAGTCATGAAAACAATAGCAAGGCACAAATTTGATTACGGAAAGAAATATTCACCATTAGAATAATGACCTGAACAATCAAGGTCTTTACAGGACCTAGATAGAAAAGATAGCCGACGTGGATAAAACTACAGGAAGTGTTGATATTACTGAGATTTGTGGGGAAGAATGGCCAGTTACAGGCTGAATAAGAAAACCCCAGGATCAAAACTTACAGAACATTATACACTCATCATATTCCTGGAGATGGTGGTGTGCCCTCTTAAGAAATGCCACATCACTCACATTCTTGTTAGTACAGAAAACAACACTATGTGGGAAACTACCATATCACAAACTATGAGTCAAAAAGATTCTCAAAAATCAGACTCTTAGAGTGAAGAAATCTTAGGAATACTTTAATCAATTTATCTTACTTATATTTTCCCTTTCATGTACGCACATGATATGATTTAAAAATCTAAAGGTAAATAAATTTCAAAGAGCTCTTTCAATAAGTATATAACAGGGCTGGGGACAGCAGTTGAGCTCAAGGGGAGAGCACTTGCCCAGCATGCACAAAGTCCTGGGTTTGATCTCTAGCACTATAATGACAACAGAAAGTACATAACAAACATTCTAAGTTTAAAAAAAAAAAAGCACTGGAGTCTGAATTTAATTAACAAGGGTTTTTTTCTTTCTTACTGATACATCTTACCATCAGCATCTTAGATTCCATAAAACATGGCAACATTTGTAATCTTGTTCAGTTTAATGATGAACATTCAAGAAATGGTAGCAATGAGCCGGGCAAGGTGGCACACACCTGTAATCCCAACAGCTCGGAAGGCTGAAGCAGGAGCATTATGAGTTCAAAATCAACCTCAGCAACTTAGCGAAGCACTAAACAGGGAGACCCTGTTTCTAAATAAAATACAAACAAGGGCTGGGGATGTGTCTCAGTGATTGAGTGCCCCTGAGTTCAGTCCCTGTTATCCCACTCTCCCCACCACCAAAAAAAAAAAAAAAAGAAATGATAGCAATGAAAAAATGGTAGCAATTTTCTCTTGCCTGATAACATCAAACACATTAGTACGTGGAAAGCACTGGGGATTTAAACAATAACAACAACAACAACAACAAAAAGCAAAAACCCTGCTTCCATGGAACTCATCATCTAGTAGGAAGGATGACAGCTCACTTCCCAGCTCCCCATAGGTGATACTTATAGGGTAGCACTGATAGTAATAGAGAGTAAGGAAAAGAAAAAGAAAAAAAAAAACTCCCAATTATCATAGGGCCCCAGAGAATGGAGTTCCCATCCTGCTACCCATCCCACAGCCCTACCCACTCTTATCATCCACCAGCACTGTACCCACCCATCACAAGGTCCTTCTCTGCTAAAGCCACTACTCCAGTAGTTCCTATATGAAGAGGAGGAAAAGGCCCAGCTCCACCTTCAAAGGTAAATGGGTGCCAGGATTCCAGGTTGAACCATAAATACAATTTTCACTTTAAAAATGTTATGATACAGCCAGGCACAGTGATACACGCCTGTAATCCCAGTAGTTTGAGAAGCTGAGGGCAGAAGGATCACAAGTTCCAGGCCAGCCTCAACAACTTAGTAAGACCCTGCCTTAAAATAAAAAACAAAAAGGGGCTGGGGACATACCTTAGTGGTAAAACATCTCTGGGTTCAATCCCCAGTACCCTCTCAAAAAAACAAAACATGTTATGATACATAGTGGTTACATTCCCCAAAATTGTTAATACATTATTAACCTGAGAAAAACATTAACCATCAACAGAGGTCAGGCACAGTGGCACACGCCCGTAATCCCAACAGATTGGGAGGCTGAGGCAGGAGGATTATGAGTTCAAAGCCAGCCTCAGCAACAGTAAGGCACTAAGCAACTCAGTGAGACCCTGTCTTTAAATAAAATACAAAAAAGGGCTGGTGATGTGGCTCAGTAGTTGAGTACCCCTGAGTTCAACCCTAGTACCCAAAACAAAACAAAAAAATTACCAACAGAGATTTCTGCACTGACGTGGCCTCTTATATGCTAGACATAACATTATTGTACTGGAAAGAAGAGAGCTACACTCCAGACAATGCACTTACAAGTAACCTTGTCTGGCTCAGTACAAGCTAACTAGCATATACTGCTGGCTCCCTCCTGAAAGCCAACACTAGACATACCAAAGAAATAAAGTACTGGGAAAGTGAGGAACCTGAAAAATGATCATAAAAATGGACAAGTTGATTCTCAGTCCGATTAGAAGCTGCAGATGGACCTAAGAAGCAGCCCAGGAATCACAGAAGCGGGAGGTGAAGGCAGAATTTGTCTATTGTTCTCTCCATGGTATAACTTTAAGTGCCCACTGCTCACACCTGCACTCATCAGCACTGCAAAGCCAGGTGATGCCCAGCAGTGGGGAAGCCTCAAGGAGGCACAAGAAGATACCAAATGCTAAGAGAATGGCTAGCTGCTGGGCA